GCTTGACTTTTCCTTGCGTCTGTTCTGTGCTGGTACAAAATGAGAACTAGCACTAGCATATGCTGGGGGAAGTTGGCAGGAAATTCAACTCTCTCAAGCTTCAGCATGCTTCAATACATTTGGTTGAAACCGAGGTTAAATCGCTGGTATTTGACATGTGCTTGCAAAAGTTGCAGCTAGCACTATCAAATGCTAGGGGTTTCCCACGGTACTTTCTGCAAGGTTGTTCTGTATATTATAGCATTTCAGATATTGATGATGGTGCCCATTCCCCCTGGTATCTGCGTAGTGTTGGCCGGATGCAGCAGCTAGCACTAGCAAATGCTAGGAGGAAAGATCGCCCGGAACCAGCTTCTTTTCTTTGCAGATGTCGTGTATTGAAAAAATACGAAGAGGACTAACTGATTTCAGCCTAAAAGGAAACAGTATGTTTTTTTTCAGATTGCTAGGACGGAAAGCCCCAAGTGGATTGAATGTGTGCATAGTATGTAATTGTTGACTCTGTCGGACACTTATCCTTCGCCACCATGCTAAGATAAGAGACCCAATCAACAGCTTTTGTCAGTCGATCAACTTGCAGTCGGACACCACTCAATGTGCAGTGACATGTGCAGCTTATTGCCGTGTCAGCGTCTCCTCTCTGTCATGAGAGTTGGCTATATTATGAAAACGCATTTGCTTCATGGACATTTGTATCTTTCCATTGCAAATCAAACAACATAGGAAGAATGAAGTCCAATAAGAACGCATGCCACTTGAGTCCTTGCATGTGCCTGGTGCTTGTTGGATAAACATGACTAGCACTAGCGTATGCTGGGGGTTACTCGGCAACACTAATCCTATTTCCCGTAGTGGCAGCAAGAAGTTTGGAAATCTCAGCAAGCAAATGGACCCTGTATGCGTCCTGCATCTATTTTGTGCATGCTTGGATGAAAGGCTAGCACTAGCACATGCTGGGGGTTTACATGGTCACTAATCAAGGCGACCTTTCTGAGTATTCCAGATAAAGAAGATCGAATCCAAGTCTGCTTGACTTTCCCTTGCGTCTGTTCTGTGCTGGTACAAAATGAGAACTAGCACTAGCATATGCTGGGTGAAGTTGGCAGGAAATTCAACTCTCTCAAGCTTCAGCATGCTTCAATACATTTGGTTGAAACCGAGGTTAAATCGCTGGTATTTGACATGTGCTTGCAAAAGTTGCAGCTAGCACTATCAAATGCTAGGGGTTTCCCACGGTACTTTCTGCAAGGTTGTTCTGTATATTATAGCATTTCAGATATTGATGATGGTGCCCATTCCCCCTGGTATCTGCGTAGTGTTGGCCGGATGCAGCAGCTAGCACTAGCAAATGCTAGGAGGAAAGATCGCCCGGAACCAGCTTCTTTTCTTTGCAGATGTCGTGTATTGGAAAAATATGAAGAGGACTAAGTGATTTCAGCCTAAAAGGAAACAGTATGGTTTTTCAGATTGCTAGGACGGAAAGCCCCAAGTGGATTGAATGTGTGCATAGTATTTAACTTTTCAGTCTGCCGGACACTAATCCTTCGCCATCATGCTAAGATAATAGACCCAATCAACAGCTTTTGTCAGTCGATCATCTTGCAGTCGGACACCACTCAATGTGCAGTGACCTGTGCAGCTTATTGCCGTGTCAGCGTCTCCTCTCTGTCATGAGAGTTGGCTATATTATGAAAACGCATTTGCTTCATGGACATTTGTATCTTTCCATTGCAAATCTGACAACATAGGAAGAATGAAGTCCAATCAGAACGCATGCCACTTGATTCCTTGCATGTGCCTGGTGCTTGTTGGATAAACATGACTAGCACTAGCGTATGCTGGGGGTTACTCGGCATCACTCATCCTATTTCCCGTAGTGGCAGCAAGAAGGATTTTGGAAAACTCAGCAAGCAAATGGACCCTGTATGCGTCCCGCATCTGTTTTGTGCATGCTTGGATGAAAGGCTAGCACTGGCACATGCTGGGGGTTTACATGGTCACTAATGAAGGCGACCTTTTTGAGTATTCCAGATAAAGAAGATCGAATCCAAGTCTGCTTGACTTTTCCTTGCGTCTGTTCTGTGCTGGTACAAAATGAGAACTAGCACTAGCATATGCTAGGGGGAAGTTGGCAGGAAATTCAACTCTCTCAAGATTCAGCATGCTTTAATACATTAGGTTGAAACCGAGGTTAAATCGCTGGTATTTGACATGTTCTTGCAAAAGTTGCAGCTAGCACTATCAAATACTAGGGGTTTCCCACGATACTTTCTGCAAGGTTGTTCTGTATATTATAGCATTTCAGATATTGATGATGGTGCCCATTCTCCCTGGTATCTGCGTAGTGTTGGCCGGATGCAGCAGCTAGCATTAGCAAATGCTAGGAGGAAATATCACCCGGAACCAGCTTCTTTTCTTTGCAGATGTCGTGTATTGAAAAAAATACCAAGAGGACTAAGTGATTCCAGCCTAAAAGGAAACAGTATGTTTTTTCAGATTGCTAGGACGAAAAGCCCCAAGTGGATTGAATGTGTGCATAGTATGTAATTGTTCACTCTGTCGGACACTAATCCTTCGCCATCATGCTAATACAATAGACCGGATCAAGAGCTTTTGTCAGTCGATCATCTTGCAGTCGGACACTACTCAATGTGCAGTGACATGTGCAGCTTATTGCCGTGTCAGCGTCTCCTCTCTGCCACGAGAGTTGGCTATATTATGACATTGCATTTGTTTCAAGAACAGTGGCATCTTTTCATAGTAAGACTGACAACATAGCTCTAGAGTGTAATTACATGTACCACCCTTTCCCAGTGTTAAACCAAGCTCCTCCCCAGCGCGTGATACCTTTCCAACATCATTATGACATTAGTGTGGACGCGGCCATTACAACAATCTTGAAACTTGTATGAATGATGTTTATTCTCGTAAATCACGGCAGTGATACAGAGATGTAATTGGACACAGGAATAAGATACAATGAAGAAAACATGTCAGTGGAACATTTCCATACATGATCTTTTATAACTTGCCAGTTTTAATAGAGATGGCTTATAAGTAATGGACATCAAATGAGAGAATTTTACGGCAGAAGGATACATACAGTAGTATTGAGGCAAAAACTTGTTTCTAATTTCTGAGAGTTTTGGACATTCTAATAAAAAGTGCATTTCATCACATATAAAACTTTTACACAATGTACATTTTCTTTCCTCTCTCACAATATTATACCATCTTCCTGTTTCAATGGGTAATCTATGATTTGCTGTTCTAAAACGAGCAAGAGAGATGCGTAAGGTGATTGGTAGTTCTAGTAAATAAGGTTCTAGAGATGGTAACTCTTTAAACATGTTATAATAGTAACCTTTAGATGAATTTTCCTTTCTCGCCATCTTTGCAGAAAATTATCAATGAGAACATGTTTCACATTTTGTTTCAACCATGAGGCACTAATAAAGGTTTGAGACAGCCAAATGTTATTAAAGCCTATATTTTGAAGAATGCATTTTACTTCTTTTAATAGTGGGAAATGGTAATCTGGATTTGCAATGGACATTTGAAACATAAGTTTATATACTATACTAGAAAGGCTAGTTTGTGATGATGTTAGCTTGCACCAATATGAAGTCATTCTTATCTTAATGAAAATGCTGAGAGGATACCTCCCTATTTCACCATATACCATGTAATCGAGTGTTGACTGTTTTAACTTGAGAATATATTTACAAAATTTAAGATGTACACGTTCAATGACAACAGCATTTTCAAAACCCCACACCTCAGATCCATATAACAATACTGGCTGAACAAGTTGATCAAATAATTTCAGTTGACAGTCAATAGGAATTTCTAATATTCTAATTTTACGAAATACAGCGTACATTGCTCTAGATGCCTGATCTGTCAGTCTCTTTAGTGCCTTACAGAATCTACCAGTGTTTGTAAATAAAATACCAAGGTAAACATATTCTTTAACAACATGAAGAAACGAGCCATTTAACATAAACTTGAAGACTCTATTTGTGGAGCGCTTGGCAAAAATAACAACTTTCGTTTTGTCAACATTGACTTTAAGTTTCCAGATAGTACAATATTCTTCAAATATAGTGAGACACTTTCTTAAATCTTCTGGGCTTTCGGCCATTAAAACAGTATCGTCGGCATACAAAATGAGAAAAAGTTTTATGTACAGTTCAAGTGAATCTATTAAAAGGTTATTTACATTATGCAGTCCTTCAAAGTCATTTTCAGATAAAAATTGTTCAAGGTCATTAAGGTACAAAGCAAACAGGTAAGGTGACAAATTTTCACCTTGTCTTACACCAATTTGACATGGGAAGAAACCTGACACCTTGTTATTATGTGTAACACAAGATTTGATATTTTGATACATATTATATATGACATTAAAACATTTTCCTTTGATATTAGACTTTATCATTTTTGTCCACAGACCACACCTCCATACTGTATCGAAAGCTTTGCTAAAATCGACGAAAACACAATACAACTTCTTATTAAGGTTTTTTATAGATATCAATGAGAGCTTTAAGAATAAACATAGTCAATTGTTGAGTATTTTTTTTCTAAATCCTGCTTGCGCTTCGCTTATCAGATTAGTCTGAACTGAGTAAGCTTGTAAACGATTATTCAATAGTGTAGTGAAAAATTTACCTAAACAGCTTAGGATAGAAATACCTCTGTTATTGTCTGGGTCAGCTTGGTTTCCTTTGTTTTTGTAGATTGGTTTCATTTTGCCAACAAGCCAAGCTTCAGGTAAAACTCCAGTGTCAAAAACGAGGTTAAAAAGCCTTACGTAAACCGGCATCATAACATGAATAGAGCTTTTAATGTACTCATTGTAAATACCATCCAACCCACAAGCCTTATTGTTCTTCAATGCACGGACAGCTGACATAATTTCTTCTTCTGTAATCCTACAATCTAAGATATCATCATGATTATCGTAATTTGTGTTATTGGCAAAAACATCGTCATTATCATCAGAACTTTGATTAAGATCTTTAAAAAATTGAAAAAAATTGTCAATACTGATTTTTTCTGCTGTTTTCTTTGGTTCAAATGATTTTAAAATTTCCCAAAAATTCTTAGGGTTACTATCCTTACATTCCCTCAGTTGTTGGACACATTTGTTTTGATATGTCTTAAATGCCTTCTTTAGGGTTTTACTATAAGCTCTACTAGCTGAAATGTACATAGCTTTGCTATTACTGTCTTTAGTCCTTCCATATATACGTTTACGCTTGTGGTAAAATCTACGTGATGATTTACATTTTTCATCAAACCAGGGTTTATGCTTCTGTAGTAACGTGTGTTCGTGCGTGCGCATGTGTTCGTGTGTGCTTGGGAATGCCATCATTTTGAAAAGGTTTATGAATGACTTACTATTTCCCAGAAAAGATTATCCATTGTTTCCTCAATCAAATGGTTTGAGTCGATTTCATGTAGACGCCGCCCTGATCCACATTGGGTTTTAATGCCAATGCAATAAGCTGTGTTAAATGTAAGAATAAGTTCCTTCACAACTGTCAGTGCATGGTGGCAAGCATTATCCTAGAAGTATTTATTTTGGCTAAACACAAAGTCCCCAGCCCCACTGAACATGGTCAATGCCACCTATCAAAGAGCAAAAAGAAGATCATCTTATGTTACATTTAAACTTAGAAAATATAGTGAATATGTTTTTAAAAATACATACAAATTACCGATATATTAAATTCATACAAAAAACTAGTCACAATTTAACAAATAACAGTGAAAACATATGTATAAACTCGTGCTTGTGAAACCCATGGCTATAAATTCAATGACATTTCCACCATGACTCTTTGACATATGCACAAATTGTGTGGGACTAAAGGGAGGCTGGGTGGATTTTCGATTATAATCCACCATCAACATAAAATGTAACTTGCACGTTTACCATTGGTAAAATGTCAGCCCTCATATCATATGAGGAAAATCGGGTTGGACAGCGAATCGCAGCGCCTTAGACGACAGGGCCACCCGCGCCTCCTAACCATGATGGAATGCGTTGATGAAGCTGGTTGTTAATAACCTTTCACTATATCCCCTCCGAGGTTCACAAACCTCTGCCATCAATGCTGGACCCCACTGGAGTAGAAGGCTTCCACCTGGTGGTGTAAAACGTCCTCAGCAGAAATGACGTCCTCATCATTTACATAATGCTTGCTGTGCAGTTCTTTTTTCAAGTTTGGGAGGAGGTGAAAATCTGACGGTGCCAAATCTGGTAAATACATACGGTGTTCAATGAGTTTAAAGCCACAGTCATGCATTGTAGCCATGGTGACAGACTTGTGCACTTTTCATTGTCCTGAAAACCAACACACATTCCCATGCAGTTGCCTGGTAGGATTAGATTGACTACTATTGGTCTGACCTTTCAAGAGAGAGTCCATTAGTAGAATGCCTATGGAATCTCAGAAAACATGATGGAAAAGACTTTGCTTTCTTCCTCGAGTGTTGGTGGGTCTCTATCTCATAGTGCTAAAGCTAAGGCTCATCCATTGCTACCGATCGCATTACAAAGTCAGAAGATCTGCTTTAAAACGACTCAAGTTCTCAAGTGAGATCTTGAACCTGGAGCGTTTGTGGTCAGCAGTCAGAAGCCTTGTTCTGTATGTGGTACCAATGCAGACTGTAAGCATGGAAAGTATTGCACTCCGTGAATGGTGTGTTCACTAATGATGGTGTTGATGGTGCAGTGTATATCATGTAGTTAGGATCTGGGGGTTGCGGCCACACCTCGTACTGTCTATGTTGGATCATGTTGTTGTTCAGTGAACCCTATTTCAGCGGTGGGTGCCGTTGAACCCTCACCATGGTGGGAATCTGAAACGACACATACATCGTTGAACTAAACGAAAGTATTATTGTTTTAAGCAGCATCCACCATTCCTTTTTCATACGACCGATATGTATGTAAAATCCGGTCTTCTATACAGATTAAAAACAAATGTATCACAATGTTATAAAGTCTGTAAAGTTTAGGAAATGAAATCAAAGAATACCAGTTGTTTGTTTGTTGTTTAACGTAATCGGGGCGAACCGGGATTCGAACCCATAATCATAGGTTTCTGGCGTGCTGAAGGGACTCAAATCTGCACAGCGAAATGCGGCGCCTTAAACGACTGGGCCGACCGTGCCCGCTGATGGTAAAAAGTTCAATGTCTTCTTGAACATAAATAATGTTGGAATTACAAATGTTCGAACAAATAATTACTATTATTTTGAACACCATGAAGTAATATTGTTATCTGAGAGCCGATGCTGTTGATTAAGTCGACTATAATGTACACACCTCACCTCACCTCACCATCCTCAGCTTATACTGGTATTTACGGTACGCATCATATTACTTTGTTAATTTAAAGATTATTTATTAAGTCATCAATCTCATTCATTAATACCATCAGTAAAGTTTAGAACATGTAATCAAATTTTATTAGCTGAGGACCGATGGATTCGATAAACTTATACCAAGTATACAGCACGACCTGATGTTAATAAGTTACATCTCACCTTGAACAATTATAATGTGTGGGAATTACAACCCTTGGAACAAATAATTGATTTATCTTAAAAATCATGAAGTAATACCATTGTTTAATAAGTGTTGCCGTTGATTAAATAAACTATTATGCACACGCCTTCACCTACCAGTGCTATCCTCAATTTAAGTTTGTGCTTTTGTACGTTTCATATATCATTCTATAATCTGAAGCTGTAATAAAGTAAACTTCGTTTATAACGAACATGCTAGACTAACATATAGTCTCTGAAATGAACATATCGTACAGAAAAAAACAGTTGTTCAGTTATCTTAATAAAAATCTAATAAAAAGGGAGCCCAGTGATTCTCTTCATTTTCAGAGACTAAACAAATCTGCAGTGCTATAATTTCTTGGAATTTTACGACACGTGTAAAGGATCCTATCACCCATCACTGGCATGCCATTGAAAGTGTGTGTGACAGGAAATTTTATTGCCCCTACCACATCTCCCCAAACACACACCCCTCCCACTGGAAGCTGGGGGGTCAGTTTAGAGGGCAGTAAGTATCAAATGTCCAGAAATCTATTTTAAGAGCGAGCTTGGGTACCAGCTTAGGGGCAGCATTTAGTGTGATTCCCATGGCTAAACAACTTGACCTCTCGAAAACTCCAACGAAGGTTTCAAAGTTACTTAATATTTCTCCAAAATCTAAAGGTTCTGTTTGCACTATATGTGGCAGTTTCACTGATGTGCCATCAAACAGGAGAAAACTTTTTAGTAGTAATCTAGACTTGCCAAACATTATAGACTTGCATGGGCTGTAGTTGATATAAATGTATCAGGGTCTGTAAGACAGACTACTGCAGTAATCTAGACTTGCCAAACATTATAGACTTGCATGGGCTGTAGTTGATATAAATGTATCAGGGTCTGTAAGACAGACTACGAACATGCTTATAACGAACTTATTTTTTGGTCCCGGCCATTTGCTGTATATATGCATATTACGAACTGCGGTTCTAACGAACTAGAACTAGTGGTCCATTTGAGTTCGTTATAACCGTAGTTTACTGTAAAGTGAATTTGAGTTTAGTTGAGTTGATAAAATATTCTGGAAATCAATTCTATTTTCCCCGATTCCCTTACCACATACTTCTCGCTATTCTCCTGAAACCAAGGAATGCAGAGTTATCTGCACAGTTACTAAAGGAGGCAAGGGCAGGTTTTGTTTTATTTGTTTGTTGTTTAACGCCGTGCATAGCAATATTCCAGCTATATGACGGCGGTCTTTAATTAATCGAGTCTGGACTAGACAGTACAGTGATTGACATCATGAGCATCGATTCACGCAATTGGGATACGATGACATGCATCAACCAAATAAGCGAGCCTGACCACTCGATCCCGTTTGTCGCCTCTTACGACAAGCATAGCCGCCTTTAACGACAAGCATGGGGTGCTGAAGACCTATTCTACCCCGGATCTTCACGGTCGATGACAGATTAGGAAGCAAACTAAAACTGTCATCTGTTGAAGATTCACATACAATTTAGTCTCCTACTAAATTAGGAGTAGTTACCATGTGTGACATGGATGACCGTGCACCTTTGTCCCCCCTCGACCTGTACTGATGCCCTTGGTATAAAGTGTTGCCTACTCCAGACAAGAACATTTAGACTGTCTGGATGCAGCTGTTATATATATTACATTGCTGTCTAAAGCCATTCATCCACTCACATTCATGTCTGTCTAAGACTTCACACTTTCCCCTCACTTACCTGCTTTAACCAAAGAGAATACTTTAACACATTCTTAGAAAAAAAACACCAAAGCAAATTCTTTGTTATCTTTAAAATATATATTTCTTACTTCTACTTTCTAAAAATCATTACCACATCGGTCTTATTATGGGTCTGTATCTTAAGAAATTGGGGGTGGTCGGTTGCCTAGTGGTTAAAGCGTTCGCTCGTCGAAGACCCGGGTTCGATTCCCAACATGGGTACAAGGAGTCAAGTCCATTTCAGGTGTCCCCGCCGTGATATTGCAGGAATATTGCTAAAAGTGGCGTAAAACCATACTCACTCACTCACTTCAGAAACCTAGGTGACGCACCTGGATCCTGCAGAGGCGCAGGAAAGAAAAAACATCTGTAGGAGTACTTCCTGACTTTCCCCAACTTTAGGACTGCCATAGTCGCTACAGCTGCTGCAGATAACACCATGATCAACACTGCTACCACGAGGACTGTGACAACAGCATGGTTGGTTTGATCTGTGAGAGAGTGTATTCACGATTATGCGCCTTCAGCCCAAGTCAAAGTTAAATATCAAGATCATTTAGAAATTAGGAGACACATTCTGTGTAGAATCAATGTAGTGTATTAAATTTGGAACTGAATCCACGTGAGGCTTCAAATGTTTAATTTGGTGCAGGCCACGATACTGAGTCAAGTGTTGAGTCCAAAAGCATAAGTAGGTTTATAATAGCCAGTATTTCATTTGCTACAGTATACGCAAAACACTGTTTTTTACATCATACTCGCGTTTATACTAGGCAGAGAAAGTGTGTAGCACGGCTACTTCGCAAGCCAACACGAAGAGAGCGCCCAAAAACTTTATCTTAACCGCTGTGACCAGTCAGAATCGAGTGATTCCTGGAAGAATACCTCATTAGCTGGGGTCTCTTCACTCAACTCAACTTTGAGAGATACTTAAATTATAGCATACATTCACAAGGGATAGATTATTCCGAATTTCAAGAAGTCTATACTTTGTATTAATTAGGCACTGTCATATACAGGATGAATATGAAAAAAACGCATCAAATGTCCTCCCTGTACACAATTTCACAGAATTCAGCCTACTGTACAGATGAGACATCAAGAACAATGTTCTGAACAAAGAGGAATGTGAGTGACATGGCTTCAATTAAATAATCAGCATGGAGAATTGCTAAAATCTGTGGATATACTGGAAATGCATTACATTCTCGTGTCTAGTTTGTTTGTTGTGTAACGCCGCAATCAGCAATATTCGGCGGTCTGTAAATAATCGAATCTGGACCAGATAATCCAGTGATTGATATCAGGAGCATCGATCCACGCAATTGGGACGCGATGATATGCATCATCCAAGTTAGCGAGCCTGACCACCCGATCCCGTTTGTCGCCTCTTACGACAAGCATAGTCGCCTTTTACGGCAAGCATGTGTTGCTGAAGGCTATTCTACCCCAGATCTTTACGTGTATTTGTGTCTAGAATGTACTTGAAATAGAACCTCTTGCAGATCAACGAATCTCCGGTTTGAAAATAACGACATCTACTATGGAACTCGGCCAAGACGACTACTGAATGTGCTAACCCTTATCTACACTGAAATCAGTTATCTCTTAATCAGTAGAAAACAGTAAAAAAGGCATTTAGAAGTGATACACATAAGGAGGAGAATTTATGGATGTCAACTACTTTTTTATTGGTAACACAACGTTTCGTTTCCTGATGAGGGATATACTCCGAAAAGTTGTGTTCCTCATAATAAAGAAGTTGACATCCATATATTTCCCTTCTTGGAAAACTAAAGTGTTTACGTCCAGTCCTCCTGTTGTCTGGAGGAGTTGGCGACGGGAGGTCTCGGGGACTGGGCGTTACAGTTTGCCTCACTGGTGTTTCAACTACAAAAAAGGGTAAAACGTTAGGAAATGCAATGCATACTGTCATGTGTTTTAATGATGGATCTAGACCATTGTGAATATATATAGACTTCTTGACGTTCGCAGTGGCTTCTGTTACTTTTTGCGTTACAAACTCCTGTGTTCACGTTATTGCACGGAGACCTGATGAGTTAACATGATGAAAAAAATCGGTAAGTTCGTGTGGCGTACCTGGACATAAATCCATACATTTGTTTCGAGTTCCCCTCGCTTCCGCCTGATGACAGAGTTCGGCACAACTTCGACATCCGCCGACGTCAACGTCGTAGTAGTTATCAGACTGACAGGCTGCAGGATTAAAAGTGACACGTTCAGGAATGGCAGTACAGCTCGTGAGTGAGTGAGTGAGTTTAGCGCCGCTTTTAACAATATTCCAGTTATATCAAGGCGTGTCAGCTTATTGTGGGAGGAAAGCCTGAAGTGATGCAGGTCTCAGACGTTTACCACTTTGGTGAAACCCACGAGCATGGGTATGGTGCTGACAAACCTAGAAACATAATCAAGGCGAACCAGGATTCGAACCCAAAATCAAAGGGAAGCAGCTCTGTTCAGCGAATTGCGCTAAGACGACTGGGCCACCACTGTGCCAAGTACAGCTACAGATGGTCTACAAAGTATGCGTGAAATAATATCAAATGGCAAATGTCTGGCAGTAAATTTGTCAATCTCTGTTAAGTTTATTTTTGAATACAATTATGATAATTCTGAATATAAAAAAAATAATAAGGGAACCGTTGTTATAATTTAATTTAGCAAGGAACGAATAAAGTGCTTGAACATTTAGTGAACTAACGTAAACACTTTCCTTTGAAATACATCTGTTCATTACTATTCGTTTCCATATTGGTACAACAGATCATATATACGGTCAATTACTAGTTGCAAAGTAAAAAATTCTAAATCTATTCAAATTGACTGAACCCATTTAAAAAACTGTGTTCTTTACTGAGACATGCCAGTTAAACGATAATTTGACGTGCTCTTACTACCTTATTTTATTTCATCATGATGCGTCCGCAATTTCGATCAATAGACATTATGTCGCACCAAACATCAGGGTTACACCAAAAGCATATGACTGATTCCCCAAACGTGATCCTCAGTACTATGTAACACATATCAATACATATCATGTGACAGAACAAACGCTGGACAACGGCGACAAATTGGACAAATTAGACAGCATGTCAGTTTTAATCAGATTGTAGATTTGTCAGGGGAGCCCAATATGTTTAGCCAATATGGCTAGGCACCAGCTTTGTGTGTTCGTGTTAGATGATGTTAGATACTGCCTCGTTCCAAATTCGGCAATGGTAGAGCTACTCTGGAACGTCTGCTGGCCGCTCCTCACTGACCTGCTGTCAGTTATACAATACAAGACCCTCCTAGCTAGGGACCAGAGCTACAGATAAGCAGCTGGGGGGGGGGGGGGGGGGGGTCCAAAGAAGCGCTCGTAGAATGTGAAAAGATCAAACGATTGAAAAAAGCGCGTATAAAATCTTGGATGTACAGGTGTTTTTTGTTGTTGTTTTCTAAAAAAAGAAGTGGTGGTGGTGGTGGAGGGAGGTGGTGTAGGTGGTGGTGGTGGTTGTGGTGGTGGGTTCTTTGTTTGGGTTTGAGGGTCGTCAAAGCAAAGGATGAAAAGCGTTCTTTCGGGAGAGATGGGTGGCCCTGAAAAGGGCCGTTGGAAAACAAACTGGAAACTGGAAACGTCAGGAAACGTTAGGAACACTGGAAAAACTGGAAACGATTGGAAACTGGAAAAAAACAGTGGAGCAGCATGTCCCATGCGATAGTCACTTTGCTCAGATGGTCTATCTTCTTCATCCTCTACCGCCATCTCCTCCTCGGACTGAAGGCGTCGTCAGCGCTTTGAAGAGTGTTTTCTTGAGGGGCTTCTGTCCCGTTTTCTTTTCCCTAGACGTGGTGTGATGCCCGCACGGAGTTGTGTGATGCATTCTTTTAGGTCGAGAACATCGACATGCATGGCTTCTATGAGATGAAGCACTTGTGTCACTGGTGTCACTGGTCTCGACGTGGACGGTGCTGCTGACGTTTTCTTTCGACTGGGTTCTGGGCAATCTGCAGCGAAATGACCCACGACTTGACAGTTGTATCATGGGCCCTGGCGAGTCTTCTACTTATCTTGACTGCTTATCTTTGGACAGACATAGTGACGGTGACCTTGTGTGTGGCACTCACTACATGTCACTTCAGGGCATAACAGGTAACTGTGACTGTTGGTCTGGCACTTCATACAGTTGTATCGAGATACAGTTGTATCGAGATACAGTTGTATACATGGTTGATTTCATAGAATACAGTGTGTGAGTTCGCTCTTGTTTTTTTATAGGAAAGGCACTGACAACCCGATTGGTTCGTTCCGGTGCCTGGGCTGCACCTCAGTTTTTCAAAACGGACCGACCTTTGTGTTTCTTTTCCATAGGAAATGGATTTTACCATGGTAGAGAAAGCACAACCTTGGTTCGACCAATCAGAGCCCACAATGGTCCGAGCGCGGTCTCTGATTGGTCGAAAACCGAAGCCTCTGATTGGTCAGATTTCGATCCGGTTTTTTTTTCTGGTTGTGCATTTCGATCCGGTTTTTCTACATCCTACAGACAACATAACATTTAGGGTGAACACGAGGGTGACCACGAGGGTATGAACGTCTGTACACTTTGAAAAAAAAGAAGAAACTTTGTCACTTGGGGTGAACAAGACACTCGACTCTTCTCTTCCGTGCTTCTTTGGACACCAAACGTCTGTATTTTTCGTTCACTTTTCCATCAAGACAAAACACACACAAGTATTCACAGGGGACTTAGGCGTGCTTCAGATGTTCTTTCCAGGGTTTGTCTGTGGCTTCCCATTGGCAGAGTGTCACACCGCAGCAATAATAGATAACACGGTCACCTCGTCCTTGAAATAGCCAGCCATGGCCATGTGATAAGGGGTCTGGGTCATATGTATAGGCCACGTTTGAAAAGACCTCAGACGTTCTTGAAATGAATCATAGTTAGGATGAGAAGGATGACACAAGGTGTAAGAAGGAAAAGGTCCCTCCAGAATGTCACTGAGTCGCCATGTGTCGTCCATAAAGAGTGTGTCGTCCATAAAGTCTGTGCGTTTTCTCGCTTGTTCTCTCGCCTTTTCAGACACCCACTCGATATCGGGGACATCTCGGGAGGATGGCATGGCATTCATAGACCGTCTTTGTCCAATGATGACTGTGACTCACTGAAAGAAGGTCTGGGGGTTCGCCTGCTTTTATGAAAGTCTCCTCCCCCTTAAACGGGAGGTCATGACCTCTTCATCATCATCATCATCATCATTATGTGACGTCATCCTGTGTTTGGGCTGACTGACACACGGCATGACACACGGTGGTAGTTGTGGTGTGTACTGGAATGACTGACACCAGGCAGCTGATCTTTCAAGCATGGCCTTTTTTCTTTTATCTATTTTTTATATGTTATTCTTTACTTTTTTTCTTTACTTTGGTGTGTACTGACATGGATTCATATAGTGTAGACAGATGGTAAAGTGTACACGAACTGCTAATGTTCTTCTCCATCTGAATAATCTGACCATCTCTAGTGCAACAGAGCGTCGGGAGTTTCTCTGCTTAGTTGGGAAGGGTAGCTTGATGGAGTTGAAGAACTCCTGTATTGTCGAAGATCTTCAGTGCTGCCGGAGACACCATTATATTGATCCGTTCTAGAAGATTCAGCAATCAGAACCACATCAGGACCATCCATATCCCTTTCTTTCCGGACAGGCCCTGTGGTCAGCGTCAGTCCGGAGAGCGGAAGGTAGGGGATTCGATCCCCGGCCACGTCATACAAAAAGATGGTACTAGTTACTAGTTTGAATCCTGCCTGGCGCTCGACTGGTCGGCTCGGAGTCAGTATACTGTGTCTGAGTGGTGTATTCATGTTAAACTGTTGCATGGTATCTCAGTAGGCTTACACTATAAAACCGATATTATCGGCGCATTAGTCCGGACTAGCACAATCAGACCCACACACATCGCTATATGAATGCAATAATCTAGTCTGTCATACAGCCTCTTAAACAAATATAGCCACTACAGCCCATGCAAGTCTATAATGTGTGGCAAGTCTAGATAACTGCAGTATCAGTATCTGAAAATGAAGAAGTCTCTGGGCTCCTTTTTATAATATCTTATAACTATATTTTAACAAACGTTTTCAAATATGTTTATTTCTGAGATTAGATGTTAGTCTAGCAATAATCTTGAACGTGTTTTTTAACCCCATTTCTTCTCACCTCACCTTTTCTTTTCTATCTCTTAACCTGACTGTACATTAGATTTCCCTGTCACCAACTTTCTTCATATTTTGACAACTCTGCAATTTATTTTTACTCGATCCCTCTCCCGAACTCATTCGATGGTCAGTTAGTTAGCATAGTGCAAAGAAAGCTTTAATAAGTGTAACGTCTATTGCTCATAAAGTTGGAACGATATCACCTAAAATCTTCTTTCAGCTTTTTGATACTCAGATACGACCAATTTTATTGTGTGGTTCTGAAGTATGGGGATTTCAATTTGTCTGTCCATTATACAATGATCGTCGAAAGAAATATATGAAAGATTATTTAAAAGCAATGTTACCAATAAACGCCTTTGTGGTTATTCTGACGACAAAGAACGAATCTAATATATTAAATCTTTCTCGATATATTAAGCATACATTAGCCAAAAGAAATGAATGTGTAACATTTATGATTGTATCTACATGCGTAACTCTCTCTTGTATATGCGCCGGGGGCCTTTTGTACAATAAACTTCTTTTGACTTGACTTTTGACAACAGTGATGAAATATTCATCGTTTTCTTGCGAAACTTGAGAAGATGCTGAAAGCCACGTGTTCACATCGGAAGTAACATGCTCCCAGAAAGTCTCATTCGGAAACGTAACGAGCTATATGGGTTTATGTTAATGAAATGTGAATGTGAAATAAACAGTTAACGTACCTGACAAAAACTATCTGACACTAGAAATACAAACCAGCACATACCAAGCACTACAAGGTTCTCTGCTCAACTCAAGGTGGCATGACGTGTCTTCAGCAACACTGATAACGTCAAGACGTATGAAATCAGCACCGCCCCTGTGTCTTCAGAATCTATTCTGTTACGTTAACGTATCTGATGGAAAATGAACGTACAAAAATTCACAACTTTTAACTTTCACTTAGCACACCAACACATGAATAATTGTATTTGGTGCTTTTAAAAGTATTAAATATAAGTTTATTTGAAACGCACAACGATACAATATGCCTACATTTAATCAATCTGTGACTGTTGTAAACTTATTTCACGTATGTGATGCTTATCATTGGGACAGATTAATACTGGCGAGGGTCAATGATCCCCGTCGGTTTACATATAACTTCTGCAGAAAAAGGTCTGGCACTATAGAAGATAACACAGTGACAAAGCTTTGTGGTGACAATGTAATGTATATATCTTAAAAACATGTGCGGGGGACATGTAAAGTTTGTACAATCACATGGTATTTCCGGTACTGCCTTGGAAATATTCCCATGAAAGACAGCTCTTAGTTGTTTTGTGTATTGACGGAGGGACATTAGCGACAATTAGAGTATAAGTTAATGAACTTTTTTATATAGGAAACTATTTGTGGTTGAGGGACAACACAATAATGGAAACGTTCCACTTAAGATAAGCGGACTACTTTTTCTTATCATTTATATAATCTAGAAGTTATGATTTAAACTTATAAGTATTGCCTGATAGACATGTGTAAGTCAAGTGTTCCGTGGTTGCTATCTTAATTGTCCCGGCAAACACGAACCAGGTCGTTAGGAAAGCATCATCGGCCGTTAGGAAAGCATCATCGGAAGTACGCGCAGGACCGTAGCCGTTTGGCGCCATCTATTGGCGAAGTAGTGAAAGGGCATAGCTGAGGAATGTTGGCCATTGCATTTTCGATCACGCTGATGGTCTGACAGTAAGGTGCAGGAGAGCAAGTTGTCCCTAATGTCCGCTTATCTAGACTTGCCTGGTACAAGAATAGAATAACTATACACCATGGACTTATTCAGTCAAGGCTACACGTACAACGATATGCATTCTAGCTATTTTTAACCTACTTTCCTTCCGGAAAAGTCGCTGAGGTGATTACGGTCGGAGCCGATGCAAGTTCACTGTGTTACGTAAATGCAAAGGCAACTTACAGTTTATGACTCTACCATGTCCCACCAGTACAATACAGCCATGCATGTTGAAAGTTCATTTGATAATGGTATAGCTACATTAACTGCAAACCTTGAGATCTGCACCCGAGATGACAGTGGACTTCACCTGTGCACGGTTCGGAGCAAGGTTGACAACTCCGGGTACTGCTGTCAAAATATTCACCGGGGCTGCACACCTCTTTGCAGCCCGACGGGCACACTAACAAGTACAAACACACTCCGAGTTCGGAGTAACCTAGCTCCATCATATCGAGCACATAGTTGATACTACGCAGTTTGTTTGTAAACAACACCTTATATGGACAGTGGCTGCTACTAGCAATACAACAGTCGCTTACAATCCGACTCAGTTGGGACCCGCGTTTGAATATTTGTGAATGTTTTGGTGTAATGCTTTCATAATTGTATCTAGATTAACTGAAGTCGTTTGATTACTTTTGTGGGTGAGGTGAAATGGAGTTTAACGTCGCGTCCAAGATTATTGCACTTATATAGCGACGTGCATGCACGTGTATGTGTGTGTGTGGCTGCTTGTACTAGTCCGGGCTGATGCTGATTTATAGTGCTAGCCCACTGAGATGCCATGCCGCAGTTTAACATGAGTACCCCTCTCAGGGGGTAACGTCGCATCGGCATTATTCCAGCTATCTGTAGCGGTCTTTGCATATGTACTATAATCAGTCAGACAAACGTGTGTGTGTGTGTGCGTGCGTGTGGGCGAAAAGTAACCACCTGAGTTTATTTATTTAATCGATTTTGTCAATATTCCATGGTATTTATTATATAATATTGAGACACTCGCTGCGTAATAGGGTATTCAGCTCACAAGGGCCGAAGGTTCAAGTAAACTTGTTGTATGGCCCGTTGTCCGTTCCTCCTTTAAATTTCCATTTCTTCGCCGAACCGACTAAAGGGATGGCAAAATAGGTACTGGGAGAATATCATGACGTATGACCAGTACGACTCGTGTATGCTTAATAATAATAATAATAATAATAATAGGGAAATATCATCGATTGACCCATATCAGATATAATTAATTAAATGTAAGGGTTCACAATTCCGGTTATTCCAACAGCATAATATCTATCTTTTACTGACTTTCACTTTCATTTGTTTCTCCTGACAAAGATTCACATGCGATCAACCCAAGACAGTGATATTGTAATGTTTGGGGCGTGCTGCCTTTCGCCTTTCACGCATGTGTTGTTTGTTTTGTCTGTTCGTTGTTTAACGCCGCACTCGGCAATATTCCAGCTATATGAGGGCGGTCTGTAAATAATCAAGTTCGGACCAAACAATCCACTGATTGACATCATGAGCATCGATCCACGCAATTGGGATACGATGACATGCATCAACCAAGTCAGCGAGCCTGACAACCGATCCCGTTAGTCGCCTCTGACGACAAGCATAGTCGCCTATAACGGCAAGTATGGGTTGCTGAAGACCTATTCTACCCCGGATCTTCACGGGTCTTCCACTCATGTGTATGCGTGTATAGGGCCATATTCCCAAGATACCTACATGTTGCTTTATCACGATGAGTGTTATCACTGACATGGCAGTTATCCTATTCGTGAAGTACATCCAACACCGTCATCAATAGAACTTTGATCGTATCGCCACTGATAACTCTGCAGTCGGTGGACAGGTAAATATACAACTCACGACCTGGTCTTCACAAGCTTAATCCAAAAATCACGAAAACAACGCCAAAGGACCAAAGGCAACCTTGACACTGAGACAGAATGTAAAAGTGGTTACATTGTGATGGAGCCGTGTAGACCAGTACTAACGATATACTTGCTGCTGGCGTACCTAATCGCCAAGCAGACTCAAGCGATAACCCGTCCAACAGCCATAAAACTGGAGAACAATGGATATACTAAGGTTTTGTTTGCTATACACCAAGACGTCACAGAGAGTCAACCACTACTGGACAATATTAAGGTGATTTACTGGATGATGTTAGCTTTCTATTACACAATATGGACATTAATACTACATGAATTATTGAGTGTTTATATAAGGTAAGATCTGTATCGCTGCTTACGTTATATATTCGAGGAGGAGTTGTACTTGAGTGTTTCGGACGTAAAAACTGTTGAATGGATTCTAAAAGTATGTTTGTGTTTCACGGTTTTATTATAACCGAGCTAGCCATTATTGCTGCGAAGGTCAAAGGTTAGTATTTTACTAGGCATAATGGTTTGTCACTACCTTATGTCGCCCATGTAACCTTTATATGTGCCGCCAGTTTCAATTTACATCTTTTCCAAACAAATAGTCTGGTCTGTGTCAATCATTGGCATTTCATTGTTTATGCATAATACAGAACGAGTGCATGGTTATGAGAGACTATGGCAGAGAATAAATCTTGCATAACGGCATCGCATGAACTTTGATAAGTCATCAATCGATCGATTTTTTGGACTGATAAGAAAACATTTTACTTCTTAAAGGTTGATTGTTTGAACACTCAAGACGAAAGTAAAATAATTTTTCAATTTTAATCAAGTTACATTACAACAATAGACATAATATGGTTTTTTTCTGTCACTACTGACATCGTTATATAAGAACTGAAAGTAAAAGCAGATTTTGTCCACGAGAGCTACATCTGAACTGAGCTACATCTGAACTGAGTATATTTCTGTGTAGATAACAGTTACATATACCCGATAGCTATGAACATTAAAACTACTTTGCCAATTCATAGCTTTCATAGTTTATGATAATTAAAAGTATACAGTGGTGACTGTCCACATTCTCCATATACAATTCTATTGGGAGTACTTTTCATGATTCCTTAACATAGTGCACATGCGCGGGCTGGTCAAAAAGTTCTAAGCCCAACAAACAACACTAACAATTGTGAAACTGTTTTCAATTTTATTTTTCAACATAATCTGCCTGCTTTTCAATACGATCGTGAAGCTTCTCAATTCCAGTCAGGAAGAAGTTTTCTGAAGCCACCCTGAAAAACCCATTCACGGCAGCTTTGAGGTCATCGTTGTCGTCATAGCGCTTTCGACGATGGTGATCTTTCCGTTTAGGAAACGTGGAAATCACTTGGTGCCACGTCTGGCGAGTATGGGGAGCAGTCTTTACAAGTCGAGAGATGTGAGAAGATGCATTGTCATGAAATAATAGAACTCCAGCAGTCAGCATTCCTCGCCGCTTTTCTTCGATATAATCTCTCACCCATTACTAATCTCTTTTTTATTTTCACTAAATCCTCTTCAATTAGTGCTGAATCTCTGGCAATGTCAGTTCGTCTTTCCTTAAGATCAGAATTTAGAAACTTTCGCACCCAATGAGCAGATATGTTATTCATCTGTAAATGTTTATGAATAATAGTTTCAATGGATCCATGGCTCAGACCTGTGTCTTTCTCAAGTTCAGGAATGGCAATATGTCTATCTGACAGTATAAGTTTTTCTATCTCCTTGATTGAATCTTCATTGATGGAGCGTTCAGACCTAAGGTCATCATCAAGGCTTGTTCTCCCAGACTTAAATATAGCTGCCCAACGTTTAACAGTGGAATAGCTAGGTCACATATCTCCATACACTTGTGACATGCGGTCGTGAACTTCTTGGAGAGTTCTTTTCTCTGAAGTCAAAAACGTGATGGCTGCTCAGTACTCGTTCTTTTCCATTTTGGTGTCCTATTGGACCCCTATCAACTGGCTGTCACTAATATACAAACGGCCTCAACAGATCAAATACACTTGCAATGAACTACACTGGCTAGTTCACTTTGTTATGGCCCATAGTTGAAAGTTAGTCAGACTTAGAACTTTTTGAGCAGCCCTCGAACATACATATAAACTAATTCAACAGCATTATACACATTTCACCTCAGATCCATGTAGGAGAACGGGATATATTTTTGCAACCACTTTTTAAAGAACAATAATACTTTATAAGACCTTTTCAAAATCTGATAATGCTCCTAGAAGAACACTCTTGGTTTGTGTTGCAGCTCTATTGGCGTGTACACTTTCCATGTAATTTGTAACTGAATGGGACTCCGAGATATGCATTTGATGCAACTACCTATAAATGTTCTAGCCATGTATCCTTTCATTCCTGATCGCCCGGAGAGCGGAAGGCCTTGTCATACAAAAAAAACGTTTAAAGGTGGTACATTTTGTTACCCTGTCTGGCGCTCGGCATTAAGGGCCAAAACAAGGAGTGGTCGGCTCGGAGTCAGTATACTGTGTCTGAGTGGGGTATTCATGTTAATCTGCGGCATGGTATCTCAGTGAGCTAGCACTATAAATCGGCATCAGTCCGGACTATAGTACACACATACACACGCACGTACATGCACGTCGCTATATAAGTGCAATAATCTTGGAAGCGACGTTAAACCCCACTTCACCTCACCTTCTTTCATTTCTTGGTAGTTGTGTTCCACATTTGAAAACTAGTTTTGAAATTTGACTTTTGTTGGCAATAGCAGTAAAACTGATTTGTAAAATTTTGTGAGCCACGTATCGTCCTTGATATTACAATATCACCTGCCAAGTGAAAAAGTAATACCTTAATGGTTTCTGAGTGGAATTGTGTAGCAGCTGCAGGATCTTTCTAACTTCTGTATCGGACCAGCATGGCCGTTCATAAAGAAGGAGAAGGGGCATGGACTTACAATACACTCATATTACACAGTTGGCTAAAACAGAATCCTTGTGACATGTATTAACACTTGATAAAAACTGCACAACGTTCTCCCCACCTTGTTACTACTATTATATGCCTGAAATAGTCATCACAGATTAGTCAGATATGTACATATGACCAATGTACATTGCATAGAATGTGTCACGATTTGTGTAAATGTACTTAGGTATTGTTGACTTCAGCATGAAAATGTAGTCAACGGTCGAATACCTGTGTTTTCATTGGACCAAAATAACATTTCGTTGGTTATAGATGTCACCATTTCTCCGAGAACGGATAACATAGTAATACCACGATAAGTATTTGGATCATTTGTTGTTCATGGTTTTTTAAACTGGATCATAATTCCGATCGTTAAACCAATCAAAATGAATGTTCATTGTACCAGTACTGTCTCCAGTAGCATTGTATCAATACTGTCATCACTAGTATTGCGTAAATACCGTCATCCCCAGCATTGTACCAATACTGTCATCACAAGCATTGTACCAGTACTGTCTCCAGTAGCATTGTATCAATACTGTCATCACTAGTATTGCGTAAATACCGTCATCCCCAGCATTGTACCAATACTGTCATCACAAGCATTGTACCAGTACTGTCTCCAGTAGCATTGTATCAATACTGTCATCACTAGTATTGCGTAAATACCGTCATCACCAGCATTGTACCAATACTGTCATCACAAGTATTGGATTTATACTGTCATCACTAGCATTGGTTCAATACTGTCATCACAAGCATTGGATTTATACTGTCATCACTAGCCTTGAATCAATACTGTCATCACTGGTATTGGATCAATACTGTCATCGCTAGCATTGCTTCAATACTGTCATCACAAGCATTGGATTTATACTGTCATCACTAGCATTGCTTCAATACTGTCATCATAAGCATTGGATCAATACTGTCATCACTAGTATTAGATCAGTACTGTGCCATCACTGGCATTGCATCAATACTGTTATCACTAACATTGCATCAATACTGTAATCACTAACATTGCATCAATACTGTAATCACTAGTATTGCGTTAATACCGTCATCCCCAGCAATGCTTCAATTGTGTCATCACTAACATTGCATCAAAACTGTCATCACTAACATTGCATCAATACTGTTATCACTAACATTGCATCAATATTGACATCACTAGTCTTTGGTAAATTTTGTCATCTCTAGAATTCCACCACTGGTATTGCACTCATACTGGCACCCTTCTGATTGCATCGCGTTCGAATGATTATTTCCCTAGCTTTTCAAGGCCGTATACCCGTGCTAGTGGGGTTCACGAAAGTGGTAAACACCTAACACCTACATCACTTCGGAGTTTCCTCCTACATCGATCTGACACGCCGTGATATGACGGAAAACATTGTTCACTCACTCACCTATTTACAATGAACGCCTCATTTTCAATGATCGTTTTCATTGCATCATCAACACTGTCACATCAGTGATTTGTTCGTTTTTCTGTTGCTTACATTTCTGACATAGCATGTAAAGACATGTTTAGGATACTGACGTTACCAGGGTTACTTTTGGCAGGACATGATAACGAAGTCATCAGCCTTCATGTACACGGCAACACAGAAACGCGCGTACTTCAAAGAGGTTACCATCCTTGTTCCGTCGACATGGACGGGAAGCTACAGCGACGCGACATCCGAGGTATACACAAACGCCGACGTTGTTGTCGAGAAGGCCGGCAGTCGGTACGGCAGCGAGCCCTACAGTCGGACGTACAGTGGGTGTGGCAGGGCGGGCATCAGGGTGTACCTCACTGAGGCATTCATGACCAGCTCGTCAGCAGTCGGACAATATGGACCGAGAGGTGAGTGAGTGAGTTAGTGAGTGAGTGAGTGAGTGAGTGAGAGAGTTGGCGAGTGAGTGAGTGAGTTAGTGGGCGAGTGAGTGAGTTAGTGGGCGAGTGAGTGAGTTAGTGGGCGAGTGAGTGAGTGAGTGAGTGAGTGAGTTGGCGAGTGAGTGAGTGAGTTAGTGGGCGAGTGAGTGAGTTAGTGGGCGAGTGAGTGAGTGAGTGAGTGAGTGAGTGGGCGAGTGAGTGAGTGAGTGGGCGAGTGAGTGAGTGAGTGAGTGGGCGAGTGAGCGAGAGAGTGAGTGAGTGAGTGAGTGAGTGGATTAGTGAGTGAGTGGGTGGGTGTTTGTCAGTGGGTAAGTGAGTGAGTGAGTGAGTGAGTGAGTGAGTGAGTGAGTGAGCAATATTCCAAAAATATCAAGGCAGGGATCACCAAATGTGGACTTCACACATTGTCCCTGTGTAAAAAAATCCTATATTTGGTTATATTGGAGAAGATGAAGAAATAAGCTCATTGTGATTAGAACAATTTCGTTTTACTAGGGGTTAAAGTAGTATTTGATGTCTATGTGTTTAATGGTTTTACTCATGCAATATCAGGGCGGGGGACACCAAGAATGGGTTTTATACATTGCACCCAGGTGGTGAACTCGCGACGTGACGTGACGACCGTCAACACTATAACGTCTTGGCTATTTATGAGTGTACATGGATAGCCCAGACACACCCCACTGGGTTGACGTTCAATGCCCAACATCGCCAAAGAGTGCTGTTCTGTCATCAGTTCTTTTTTCGCATTACCATGTACCATTTCGTTTCCATGGTTACAGAAAAGGTTCTCACCCACGAATGGGCTCACTTCCGGTGGGGCGTGTTTGACGAGTACCCACAACTAGGAGAGCAGAAGTTTTACTTCTCTCCCTCGACTGGTAAGATGGAGGCGGTGCGTTGCAACATCGAGATCTACGGACAAATATATATACGGTATCCTAACGGGACACTCATCTTCTGCCGCGACCTTGACCCTCATACTGGGCGGTTCCCGGATGATTGCTCTTATCGGCCGGATGTTCGCAGAACTAAAAGTGTTTCTTCCATTATGGACAGAGTGTCCATCCCTTCGGTAAGAGTTTGTAATTGTCTAGAGTGAGTGAGTGAGTGAGTGACTTGGGTTTAACGCCGCTTTTAACAGTATTCCAGTTATATCACGGTGTGTCAGCTTAATGTGGGAGGAAAGCCCGAAGTGATGCAGGTCTCAGAAGTTTACCACTTCAGTGAAACCCAAGAGCATGGGTATGGTGTTGTCAAAACTAGAAACATAATCGGGGCGAACCAGGATTCGAACCAACAATTATAGGTTTATGGAATGCCCAAAGGACGCAACTCTGCTGAGCAAATCGCGGGTGCTTAGACGACTGGGCCACCTGTGCCCCCGTAATTATCTAGATTTGCTATAGTGAGTGAGTATTTCAGCAGTATTTCAGTAATAGCACGGCGTCCCAGCTTGATAAGGACGGAAAGCCCGAAGTGTAAAGAATGCCTTAACTTGTAAAGTATGAAAGTCGACTGTGTAAGCCCATATAGAAACACAAAATAGTACGACTTCGTCTTTCATTTATTGAAGATAAGTACGTGCATTAGAGATCTCTTACCCGATATCGGGGCGTAGGGTACCCTTGTGGTTAAAGCGTTCGCTCGTCGAAGACCCGGGATCGATTCCCGACATGGGTACAATGTGTGAAGTCAATTTCTGGTTTCCCCCGCCGTAATATTGGTGAAATATTGCTAAAAGCGGCTTAAAACCTTAGCCATTCACTCTTACCCGATGAAACATATGAAACGTTAAAAAAATGTTTTGGACTGTTTTAACGAGTCGCAATCTTCTTCATTATTAATATTATTGTTGTTGCTGTTGTTGTTGTTGTTGATGATGATGAAGATGATGATGATGATGATGATGATGATGATGATGATGATGATGATGATGACATGATGATACTGCCCTGATGACTACCTAACTGTTGTGCAGATCGTGGACTTCTGTGACGACGATCAGAGTAACACAGCCAAGGTCCACAACAGGGAGGCCCCCAATAAACACAACCGGATGTGTGGTCAACGCAGCACGTGGGCGGTCATCTCGGAGACGGAGGACTTCAAGGGGGGTAACAATCCCCCAAGGGACGGGATAGATACCACGCCCACTATCAAGATTGTGAAAGCAACCACAAAGAGACGTGTGGCACTTGTGCTGGATACATCAGGGAGCATGCTGGTAATGTTCCACACTACACTGCCGGACAGAAGAAAGTATACAGCCATGTTTGATTGGAGCTAATAATGAAACAAACAAGAAATGGTTATTCGATGGTGATGTATTTGCACGGGTATCATAGTTATGTAATGCAGTAAAAACTTTTGTAATTTTGTTGGTAAAATTCAATTTTCTACCCGAGATCCGGGTTAGAATACGTCTCCATCAACCCATTCTTGTCGTAAGAGGCGACTAACGGGATCGAGTGGACAGGCTGGCTGACTTGGATGATGCATGTCATCGTATCCCAATTGCGTAGATCGATGCTCATGGTGTCAATCACTGGTTTGTCTGGTCCAGACTGCCGTCATAAAAGCTGGAACATTGCTAGGTGCGGCGTTAAGCAACAAACAAACAAATCCAATTTTCAAGACTTTACTGTACACTTTCTTTTGCCGGGCAGTTGATATGAGATATTTACTTAGATTTACTGTGAATAGTGAGTGAAAGTTAAAGCGACATTAAGTCATATTCCAACTATATCATGGCGGTCAATAAAACATCGAGGTAGGGTCAGGCGAACCAGTGACTGACAGCATGAACAATTATCAACGTCATCGAGGCATAATGACACACACTCAACACAGTCACCGAGCCTGACCACCCGATCCTCTTTAATAGGCGTTTACGCATACGCGAGTAACTGGGAACCAATGTTTAATCGGAATCACCACGTGGGTGTATTTTCGTCTTTACGTGAGTGAATGCGTTAAGGAAGCTTCCACGATAACAGCCCAAAACACAGGTGTTACAGAACGCATGTTGTCGTGACAGACATAGTGTGCTTCAATGGACACTCCCACCTTGACATTGTAAGATTGTTACAACAGCCGCCGATTGTTTGTACTGGAACAAGATAGAGGGTGCACGAGATAACGGATGATCAGCATTATGTTATTTCTATATTTAAGTCACATCTAATCTGGATGACACGAAGGAGTGTCAGGGTGTTGTTTTTGTGAAATTGTGATGACGAATTCTCCAGATATTGCCGGACGTTTGGCTAGCCTAGACACGCTGATTTCAGAGGCCTGGGTTCGATTCCCGACGTGTGCAATGTGTGAAGCCATTTCTTAGTGTCCTCTGCCGGGATATTTGTGGGATCACTCACTCACTCACTCACTCACTCACTCACTCAGAGATATAACCGTTTCGATGTATTTAAAGAAGGTGGCGTTGATATGTCGCATAAATATACGACTAACAAATGGGTGAGGTATTACAGGATGCAAGCAAGATCTACCAAAAGTTGTATTGCAAATAGTGACTGAATGAGGTTAACGCTGCTCTGAACAGTTTTTCGTTTATAACACAGCGTATCAGTTTGTCGTGCTTAATTAATTGTGTGACTTGTGCTACCTGACCTATTGTGGTTTTGAGCCGAAATGTAGAAAAGCGGTCAGAAAGGGGTGGACAAATTTGTCTAAAATGCTGCACTGACTATGGTTGAGTAATTACAGCCCGTCTACACGGCAGTACTCGACTGAGACAAGCTCACATCGGCGTGTGTACACATAGGACTGACACCGCTCCTTTTCTGGGTACAGCTAAAGTTATTTGGTGTCAGACGTGGCCTGGAAGTTCCATGTGTGTAGGTGGGGATTGTTACGAAAGCCTATATCAATTATTTTCTAGTTACTTCGAAATTTTACTTGTAATTTTGATTATTTTCTTGTTATTTCAAGTATATCTCAAAAACTCGAACTTGCGAGAAAATAATAGAAATAGCGAGAATCGAAATAACGTGAAAAAACATAGCCGCGAACAGTGGCGCTTCAGACGACTGCAGCTTGACACGTGTCCTCTGAATCAAATAATAGATAAATCTGTTAAAAAATCAATACCTTAGTAATTTATAAATTTTCATTTTTTGTTCTCAAAGAATGAGGACAAGCTTACCCGATTACGGCAGACGGCCTCCAATTTCATCATGAACGGCGTTGACAGCGACGCTGACGTCGGAGTAGTCTCCTTCAGCAGCACAGCCCACGTCATCAGCCCCATGACGCCGATACTAAACAGCTCCGCTAGATACGACCTGAAACTCTCCCTCCCTCAGACTGCCGTGGGGGGTACCAGCATCGGCAAGGGGGTCAGGACGGCGCTTGAGGTGAACTATGTGGTGTAGCCATTTTGGAGTAAATCCATTTCTGTGAATATGTTTCTACAGTTATATTACTTAAATTCTGTATGTGTATATCCTGGTACTTCAAAGATTATCCAGACAATTTTGTCTCAGACACGAAATACCCGTGAATATCCGGATTAGAATAGGTCTTCACCAGCCCATGCTTGCCATAAGTGACGATTATGCTTGTTGTAAGAGGCGAGTAACTAAATGGGGTTGATGCATGTAATCGTATCCCAATTGCGTTGATCGATGCTCATGATATCAATCACTGGTTTGTCTGGTCCCGACTCAATTATTTACAAACCGCCGTCATATAGCTGGTATATTGCTGAGTGCTGCGTTAAACTAAAAACAAACAACAACAAACAGCCACTTAACAGGAACTGGGTGGGAATTCACAATAGATCTACATACCGTATGTCCTATGTGGTACAATGCTTTTGGTATTGTATGGCGGTCCCGTATGCTCGTATTGTAACGTACTAAGTAGATGGACTTGTTGAATGTTAAATCAACTCTGCATTTGAAAGAAATTTACATAAATATATATTCTACCGTATTAAATCGTCACGATAAAGCAAAGTTGAGAAAGTTCCACTTTGGGTCGTTTTCTAGGGACACCATGTTGTGGTCTCTACGAGAGCGAGTTAATGAAGTCAATTACATACCACGAAAACAAAATTCCTATGGCGATGACGTAGAATATAGATTTCTGGAGGTAACCAGTTTCCCAAAGTCACTCCGAAGCTATGCCGAGGCCATGTGAATTGTTACAGTACGTCGTTTGGTTGTCTGTTCATCAACTATAAATACGGGTTACGTCAGTCGTAAGTTGCTGCATATCTGCGTGTTGTCCATGAGTGTGTAACTGTGCCCCCCCCCCCCCCCCCCCGGTAGATGCTTGTTGTCCATGAGTGTGTAACTGTGCCCTGGTAGATGCGTGGTGTCCATGAGTGTGTAACTGTGCCCTGGTAGATGCGTGGTGTCCATGAGTGTGTAACTGTGCCCTGGTAGATGCGTGGTGTCCATGAGTGTGTAACTGTGCCCCCCCCCCCCCCCCCGGTAGATGCTTGTTGTCCATGAGTGTGTAACTGTGCCCTGGTAGATGCGTGTTGTCCATGAGTGTGTAACTGTGCCCCCCCGGTAGATGCTTGTTGTCCATGAGTGTGTAACTGTGACCCGGTAGATGCGTGTTGTCCATGAGTGTGTAACTGTGCCCCGGTAGATGCGTGTTGTCAATGAGTGTGTAACTGTGCGCCGGTAGATGCGTGGTGTCCATGAGTGTGTAACTGTGCCCCGGTAGATGCGTGTTGTCCATGAGTGTGTAACTGTGCCCCGGTAGATGCGTGTTGTCCATGAGTGTGTAACTGTGCCCCGGTAGATGCGTGTTGTCCATGAGTGTGTAACTGTGCCCCGGTAGATGCGTGTTGTCCATGAGTGTGTAACTGTGCCCCGGTAGATGCGTGTTGTCCATGAGTGTGTAACTGTGCGCCGGTAGATGCGTGTTGTCCATGAGTGTGTAACTGTGCCCCGGTAGATGCGTGTTGTCCATGAGTGTGTAACTGTGCCCCGGTAGATGCGTGTTGTCAATGAGTGTGTATCTGTGCCCCGGTAGATGCGTGTTGTCCACGAGTGTGTAACTGTGCCCCGGTAGATGCGTGTTGTCCACGTGTGTGTATCTGTGCCCCGGTAGATGCGTGTTGTCCACGTGTGTGTATCTGTGCCCCGGTAGATGCTGAGGGACAACGGCGAGAACGCCAGTGGGTCTGCAATAGTGGTGTTGACAGACGGTGTTGAGACAGTGCCCCCCTTTCTAAAAGACGTCCTACCGGAAGTAAAGCAGGCGGGTGCCATTGTCAGTATCATGGCCTTCAGCTCCGACCCGGATGACAACTTCGCCAGCTCCGCAACAGACACCGGTAAGCCCTGCCAATAGATACAGTGCTGTCGTACAAAACAACCTTAGCGCTACGACTGTCGTCAGTCTATGTTAAGGTATGGGAGTTACGATGACCTTAGCACTAAGATGGCTTTATGCAACGGCACCATGCTGTGTAGGATCATCCTTAGGACAGACTTTTTTGGAAATTGGCTTACGAATTCGCCGACTCCAAAAACTTGAAAAAGGAAAATATATATATATTCCGCCCACCTGAAATAAGTGAAATATAAAAACAAACCTCCTTTTTTGCTGTCGCTGTCACTATAAATTATTAAAAATACTATACTTAAAATCTTTTGAAAATCTATTTTACAAACTTCAAAACACGAAGTATGACTCCTACCAACTTAAGATTTTGAGGAAGTGAAAAAAAGAAATTTAAATTGGAATTTTCCCTTTTAATATTTTCGATCTGAAACTTTGGGTCATTAATCCGTCCCACCAGTCGTAGCGCTTAAAGATATCTGTTTGAGAGCCGTTCCTCGAAGCGATCTTAGCGCTCAGTCTGTGTTACTATGCGTTAATACGGTCGTAGCGCTAAGATCAGTTTGTTGAGAGGGGCCCGGTTCATAACACAAGCAACCTTCTCTGACTTTCTATGTGTGAAGTACTCAAGTGCTCACCAATTTCCAAACACATGATGTCCCCGCCGTCACAACGATCCGTAGATTCCCAGTGTGTTGCTTCTTATGTAGATGGTCTTCCTGCGAGCGAGATACGAGCTTGGTTTTAACAAATGCTTAAACAATTTGTTTCATTGGATTGTTGTTTTCAAGAACTCATTTGTATGTTGGAAAAAAACATGTTTTAGTTGAGCGTTTTGTCCGGCAGGGGGCCTATTCTACTATGACAGCAACGAGGCAGGTTCTACTTCTCTCGGCGACGCCGTGTTCGACATCTACACCACCTTCAGGCATGACAGACAAGACAACGCGGTTCAGGTGATACTTGCCTTTAAGTTGAAGGGATGTATTGTTATTCAGGCCAGTGTTATCAGGGTAGCACAGACCCGTGGCTAACAATTAAGGAGATAATCCAGTGATTGACATCATGAGCATCTATCTACGCAATTGGGATATGATGACATGCTTCAGCTAATTTAGCGAGTCTGACCACCCGAGCCCGCCAGGCGCGAATGGCTCATTTGCCTAGGACACCATAGCTCGTTATGCAGGATTGCCTTCCTTAGCAATGCCAGGAACCGCTGGTTATAGGGTGGAATCAATCATGATCCATGTTCCGCCAATACCACACCTGCCCCGCGTCAATTTGGCATGGTTTTGCTGTCACATTAAATCCAACTCACTCATTCACTCTTCCAATGTCAATAATGCGCGCATAAAGGGAAATAATGTAATATTTGGAAAAGTCAAATTTTCTGACTAATTACACAAGAAATATAGGGAGGGTATGATGCATTCGTATATTTATAATCATCGTTTTATTCATAATCTAAGAATGATCTAATATCTATAGTAAACATAGTAAACACAGTTTCCGTTACTTACAGTTGCTGAGCCGGGCCGCGGGTCTGGTGAAAGGAGATAACATTTCTGGTGAGGTTAATGTTGACGTTGACATCGGCAGAGACACACATTTCTTTATGACGTACCTACAAAGTGAACCTGACGTCACCATTACGTCACCAACAGGGAGGATGTACAAGAAAGTATATCCCGAGTACTCGTGTGATAACGAATTCAAGACTATCAAAGTAGCCATCCCTGAAATTGCAGAGGTAAGCGGACGGACATCCGGGCACCGGGATATTGTTCATTATCATACAATGATCAGTATATAAGAGTTATCGCAGTCTCAGGTATCTGGCATCTACACTGCGACTTACGCACGACTAGCTAGCCCTCGTTAGTCAGCTGTCTGTCAAGGCTCACCTTCGATATAATTTTGATTGCGTTGATACGGTTTACAGATCTAAATTGTGTTATGCTGTATACTCCAAAGGAAGCTGAGAATGTGACTGCGGCGATGAATAAGTCGCTGTATTATTATTATCCTGTCTGGTATGTTGTCATATGTATTGACCAGTAAAGGTTAGAGTACGCTGGCAATCAATGTTAAACAGTTAATCAGATGGTCCCCATGTGACATTGGACGGTGGATAAATAGCGGAGAGAAACACATCTCAGACGTGACCTGCAGGTTGATTATCATTGTGGCTCTTTGTCCGTAACTACTAGTTATTATCTCCAAACTTGGGTGCGAGGTGGGTGAGATGTACTACAAAGGTGGTTAAGGAAGTATATATTACTAAAAGAGTCCCCGTTAGATTCCGTTTTTATTACGAGTGTGTTTCAAAAGCTCAAGTTAGATACTTTTTGAAATACACGTATTGTAATAAAACGTTATCTAGCGGGGAAGAGTTTAGAAATTTATTTATTACTCACTTAATCAAACTTTGAACATTGTCGAGATTCAACGTAGACAAACGATATGAATACAACATTCGGAGGCGATGATTCGACCACAGACTGTTCTCTCTAGATGCAACCGGGCATAAGAAATGATAAGTGCCGGCTCTAATATCATGTCATTAACGACATTTACATACAGAAACATTACCAAGTTAAAGACATCTGCATTCAACGAAAGATGTAGCTTCAATCTCGGTTCAGTGTTGGTGAGGGGAGCTAGCAGACGACTGACTCATCGAATCATGTCAAAAGTTTGAAAATCTCAGGCTTGCCAAGTAGTTTTCAACTTTTATCGGCAAGTGCCTATGTAGCCCTATTTATGGCCAAGGTTTGATAACGGTAATGTCGCTGTGACAAAGCCATGTTATTGACTGTAAAGCCAGACCTCTGGTTATCGACCATTTGACACCAGTGAGTTGCCTCGTGGCCTCATACGAAAACTCATGATAAAGAGTCCAGAAACTCCAGTACAAAGTTTTGAAAGCACAGCTGATGCTTCATACAAAAACCAATAACACTGAAGCGTGAATCTGATCCCAGGCCTAATTTATATTGTTGTATTAAATTTTGAATTCGTTTCATTGCGAATTTGTATCAGCTTCCAACATATTGATTTGGTGCACGGACATTACATAAGGAGCTAGGTAACTCCATGGGAATAAGGAGACAGGTATCTCCATGGAAATAAGTAGCCAGGTATCTCCATGGGAATAATTAGCCAGCTATCTCCATGGGAATAAGTAGCCAGGTATCTCCATGGGAATAAGATCAAGGTATCTCCATGGGAATAAGTAGCCAGGTATCTCCATGGAAATAAGTAGCCAGGTATCTCCATGGGAATAATTAGCCAGCTATCTCCATGGGAATAAGTAGCCAGGTATCTCCATGGAAATAAGTAGCCAGGTATCTCCATGGGAATAAGTAGCCAGGTATCTCCATGGGAATAAGTAGCCAGGTAACTCCATGGGAATAAGTAGCCAGGTAACTCCATGGGAATAAGTAGCCAGGTATCTCCATGGGAATAAGTAGCCAGGTATCTCCATGGGAATAAGTAGCCAGGTATCTCCATGGGAATAAGTAGCCAGGTAACTCCATTGGAATAAGTAGCCAGGTAACTCCATGGGAATAAGTAGCCAGGTATCTCCATGGGAATAAGTAGCCAGGTATCTCCATGGGAATAAGTAGCCAGGTAACTCAATGGGAATAAGTAGCCAGGTAACTCAATGGGAATAAGTAGCCAGGTATCTCCATGGGAATAAGTAGCCAGGTATCTCCATGGAAATAAGGAGCCAGGTAACCATGGGAATAGTGGAACTTCAATCCAGCTGGCGTCGCACCCATTTATTTACTCACTCTGTTTCCCAGAGTGGACGGTGGAAATACTCGATGACCAGCACGGATTCCGACTATCAGAAGGTGTCCATCATGGTGGTATCCAGACCAGTTGACCCCAAGAGGGCCCCCATCAGAGTCGAGACGTCCATCATGTCCAGCAACACCAACTGGCCAGCACAGGTTATCCTGTACGCTGACGTGACCAAGTCTGTACACCCTGTTACTGGACTGAGGGTGCAGGCAGTTGTGGATAGACCTTTTGCAAAGCCTTATATTGTACACCTTCTTGACAATGGAGCAGGTAAGGTTCAAATTGTTCTATAAAATGAGACATTTAATTCTTGTTTCCGCTGCAATCGTGTTGATTTAGTGTGAATTGGTACTCCTATGGCGTCCGTGGCGTATCACACTCTCAGTCTGTAACCTGACCCGAGACATTGTGGGGATTCCGGGTTACATTTGATCCCCAGAAACGTATGCTGATCGGAACAGTCTGTGAAGTGAACCGGGTGGTCCTATTCGGGGGCTTGGTTGATGGCGTGTCACTGTAATCTTCCGCGTAGATCGGTGCTCACGGTATCAGTCAGTGTATTGTCTGGTGTAGATTCGCTTATTTACGACCATCGTCATATAGCTTGGATAATGCTGAATGCGGCGTCAAACAACAAACACACACGCGCACACGCGCAAGCACGCACGCATACGCACATACCTTACCCGAGATATGTAATAATGAAAAGTGCTCATCTGATGTTTGAACGGAGGTGGATATCCATCGTTCAGTTAATTTAACCAATGAGTGACCATTGTTTTACTCCACTCGATGCATTATTCAAATTACATTACCCTCATTTAAATCAACACGTGGACTTGTTGTAACGAACACATAACGACAACTCAAATATGCCAGGAATAAAAAGAAAAGTTGTTTTTAAGACACCCCCCTGCATTCTAGGCGCTGATATCACCAAAGACGATGGAGTTTATTCTCGATATTTTACCAAGTTTTCCGGAAACGGTCGATACAGTGTTCGGATCGAAGTAAGCGGAAAGGGTACACTCAAAACATACCAGCATCCATCCAACACAGATGGCTTTCTGTTGGAGGAAAACTTGCACCCAGGCAAGTACACTTTGAGTTAAATAGTATCACGTAAGACCATAGCGGGAAATGGTAAATATGCGCAAACTTTATAATTAATGTTTCAAAGAAACATCAGTAAATCTGACGATACGGGTTATATGACTTCATGGATTTGTCAATAATCAGGTTTGTGAACTGAAGTTAAAGGCGGGCACTTTGGTGTCATTTGTATGCGAATTGTTTTCACAACTCATAACGTTTCTATCCCTTCAAAACGATGTCTTCACGATTTGATGATAGTTAGACATTGTACCACACCGTGTGTACAGAACATCAAACTTGCAAGGCAGAATATTATAAAATGCCCCGTGAGCCTTTGCGAGTTTGGTATTATACGGTGTCTTGTATTCTTCAGGGCCCATTGTTCGGAGGTCAGTCTTCTTGTACCCCCTGTCCTCGCCTGTCAGTCGAGTAACATCAGGGGGAGCATTTGTGGTCAGCCACCCCAACCTAACCAAGTCATTTATGCCATTCGACCCTGCAATGCTCAAGCGTGATGACCTTGCTCCGGTCAGGATCACAGACCTCAAGGTCATGAAGACGTCACACCAAGAGGGCACTGTGGTGTTGTCGTGGACGGCGCCGGGAGACGACATCGACTACTATACAGGTATATAACACGGGGTTTAAATGCCACGGTTCCACTGCGAAAACGTTGAAATCAGTTTCTTGTTTGTAATTAAAAGTAACAAATTGTGCTGGTTTAATCAAGTAAATGTGTCCAAACACGGCAATACTACACTGGATTGGAGAGTCACACATTGCAACACATCCATGCAGAATGTTTGGGATGTATGAGGTGAGGTGAGGTGAAATTGGGTTTAACGTCGCCTTCCAAGATTATTGCACTTATATAGCGACGTGCATGCACGTGTGTATGTGTGTATGTGTGTGTGTGGCTGCTTGTACTAGACCGGACTGATGCCGATTTATAGTGCTAGCTCACTGAGATACCATGCCGCAGTTTAACATGAATACCACTCAGACACAGTATACTGACTCCGAGCCGACCAGTACTTGCTTTAACCCTTAGTGCCGAGCGCCTGACAGGGTAAAAACAAGTACCATCTTTTGACGTCTTTTGGTATGACGCGGCCGGGGATCGAACCCCGGACCTTCCGCTCTCCGGGCGGACGCTCTACCACTAGACCACGGAGGCGGTCTTGGGATGTATGACATAATAAAAGGGAATTTATTCAGGATAACAAACACGTATGTCGACAATCGACACTGAGCCATCGGCCAACAATTACTCTTGACTCGTTCATGTCTGACGAGCCCAGCTTCATAGTTGAACAATATTAACTTAACTGAACACTAATTAGTATCCACTTTCTTATCGTATTCCTCACAGGGGAATATCTAAAGTATACTTAATTCTTACCATGGGCATTTCCGTTGTCAAATGTTGTCAAACTGATTTCAGCCCAGCGTTACCAGATCCGTATTGCTCCAAACGCTGACGACATGATCAACAACCACCCCACCGTCAGTTTAGTCTCTCAAAAGGATGTTCTGTTTGGAGATCTTGGAAGTCCAAAGCCAGCTGGTTCCAGTGAAGTGTTTAAGCTGAAACTGAACGTGCCGCCACTGACTAACGCCAGCTTCGTGTTCTCCATCAGAGCCATTGATGACGTCGGAAATTGGGGAGATAACTCTAATTATGCTACAACTGCTTTTGGGTTTGTACCTGACTACACAGACCCTGACTATGTAGCTCCAGACATGGAGAAATCGAGTCCAACCGGGCCCTCTAGTAGCCAGAAACTGGTTATTTCAGGCGTTGTTGGGTGTTTGGCAGTACTATTGGCGTTGGTGATAATGGCGTCGCTGGTGCTGTTCAAGTGTGGACGAAAACCGAACTATGCTGATGAGAAAAAACTAAAAGGTGGAATAGTATAGAATTCCTTATGTTACCGGTAGATCCGTCTTCTATTGTGAATGGACAACATCTACTTTAGTGAACAAAACAAGTTAGAGATCATAACTATTTTGGGGGATATTGTTTTGATGTGAAGACAATGTTTTTATGTTTTTCATAAAAACAACACCCTCAAAATTATTCATGATCTCAAATCTTTATTGATGAAATGTTTTCTTCAGTATATTATTGCCGCAATAAACCCAGGCTGTTATCTTAATTCATAAAAATGCGATTGTTCATAAATCATATAACTTCACACGCACACGCACACGCACACGCACGCACATACATTGTCAATTGCGGAAACACTTGGGCTAGGTCAGACCAGTCCGTAGGGCACTGGAGGTCGACATGTTATACTCCGGACTGCTCGCCTCAATATCTCCTCAGAAACATGATTCGGCTAGAATGTGAATGTGGAATAAAAAAAATTAACAGTATAATAATCATCTGATCAAGACCCCGAACACAAAAAATATGTATGTGTTGTAGTAAAGGATCATAACACAGCATTGATATTGGTTACATGTACTCCCGGTGTTGAAAGAAGCGTCGAGGTAGCCGAGATGTCAAAGCGTTAGATTGTCACGGGCAGGATTCGCGACCTGGTCACCGGTTTGAAGCCCATTCTATTTGTGACTGCGATAGCTACAAAGGTGGCTTAAAGTCTCACTCACTCTACGTTTATTTCTGTGGCGGGCACTACCGGTAGAGTGGGAGATGCTTACACCGTTCGTGAACACCATTGGTTTTCAGTGATCCATTTATGTCATTGTCACTACTATTTTGACACCTAATGGAATTTGTTGATGCAGATAATCGAGACTGGTTCTTCCTGGCGTTGACGTTCTCTATTTACATGATATCACATATTCCGTACTGCAGGGGCAAACTGTAGAAGATGTTTACATGATATCACATATTCCGTACTGCAGGGGCAAACTGTAGAAGATGTTTACATGATATCACATATTCCGTACTGCAGGGGCAAACTGTAGAAGATGTTTACATGATATCACATATTCCGTACTGCAGGGGCAAACTGTAGAAGATGTTTACATGATATCACATATTCCGTACTGCAGGGGCAAACTGTAGAAGATGTTTACATGATATCACATATTCCGTACTGCAGGGGCAAACTGTAGAAGATGTTTACATGATATCACATATTCCGTACTGCAGGGGCAAACTGTAGCAGATATTTACATGATATCACATATTCCGTACTGCAGGGGCAAACTGTAGAACATATTTACAGAGCTTGTTATTGCTATTTCATGGTTACAAACTGTGATGGTTAATATGTGCGCTTCGCGCCCGAGTGGGCGGTATCCTAGCTATAATATGACGGCCTGTTAGTAACACATCATGAACTGTTACAACGCTCGTTTAGAAAAATAAACTATTACCATCTGTTAATTAATCACTGTAGTGTGTATGAGTATTTGTTTGTAGACCGAAAATCAGGCTAGTGGTTGATAGCACGATCAACGTTTCGCACCGCCGGGGCCCGATGACACACAATCAGCTGCATAGCCCGACCACCAAGACCTCCCGATCTCAAGTTATTTAGCTCTTACGACAAGAGTGACATCCCGAGGGCCTATTGTGACCGGAGCCCCCACGTGGTTGCTAACAATAAGAACATTGTAGATTACAAGTGAGATTCCGACTATGTTTTCTTGAATCATTACAACCGTACAATAAACTTGTCCTCGGCCCTTAATGCTTCAAGGGATGTCAGTCCTAATTATCCTTTTATGGGGTGAAGGGGATTTAACGTCGCGTTCAAGATTGGTGCACTTTATATTGCGACGTGCATGCCGGTTATATAGTGCCAGCCCACAGAGATAACATGCCACAGTTGAACATAGATACATACACGTCGCTATATAAGTACAATAATCTTGGAGGCGACGTTAAACCCAATTTCACCTCACCTCACCTCACCTCACCTAACCTAGCAGCGAAACAACAAGTACCATCTGTAACATATTTTGGTGTGGCGGGCAGACTTTCAATGAAATATATCGAACAGTAACAATACTGAGGATGTCAACTCCACTCCCCTGAAGCCCGAGTACCATCTACATTTTCACTCTCGTTGCTCACCCCTAAATCCCTAATACTACTTGAACCAAATCTCAAAAGCATTGAGAAAAGGGTGCGATTTGAAAAAATATTCGAATGTATAAAGCATTTTTACGTCCCCCATTGTTTTGTAAATGTTGAATCTGCGTAACTAATGCGATTTTATTAGCGTCCCGCGTATGACACTGCAATCCCGAACACCCTCTAAACAGACCCTAATCCCGCGTACCAAAATGGTTCGCAGTCTCCATACCTACTGCAGCCATTCATACTGTAGTACCTGAATTGATAGGAAGCAATTTAATCCCGAGATAATATCCCGATAATACGATCTTTAATCTTGCGCACAAAATATCAAGCCTATCATGAAAGCCGATAATAATTTCGATCAGGGCCAGAAGCTGTAATAAAGGCGCCCTATCTCTGTATTCCCTGTGGTGCAAGTGTATTCACCAGCTGTGATACTGTAGAGATGACAGGCTATCCAGTAACGCCGATATGACAGCTGCCTGCCTACTCCATATAACATGGCAACATCTGGCCAAGCCTCACTGGGTCGCCCAGCCTTGAATCATCAGAACTACTTCAGCTAACCACATACAACAGGCAGAACCATACAGCTATGGGAGACCATAGAAGTGGATCTCTGTAACAATATAAACTCGGCCTCCCTTGCTCCAAACCATTTTTGTTTCAATCAGTATGATCAGTGAGTCTATATATTTTCTTATATATAGGTTCCGGGTTTAGAAGTATTTGAATTTTTGCACTGTGACTATGCTTGTTTTCAAAAATGAAACTATTTATAGTTGTACAATGTCTTGTAATTATTTATACATAGTGACTGCTTTTAGGCTATGTGTATATGTGCATTATTGCATCATAAGTTGAATTAAGAACTATTGTATACTGTGATCTGTATATCCTATTGCTCCTTATAATCTAACTGGCCTAACAGTCGGTAAGTCAGTATGGTTTTATGCCACTTTTAGCAATATTCCAGCAATATCACTGTCGGGGAAACCAGAAATAGGGTTCACACATTGTACCCATGTGAGGAATCGAAACCAGGTCTTTGGTGTGACGAGCGAATGCTTTAACCACTAGACTACCCCACCGCCCTGTCCTAATAGTAATATATGCTAGGAAACACCAGCATCACGAGTATGAAGCGGTTGACACGAGTGAGTGAGGGAGTCAGGTTTTATGCCCCTTTTAGCAATATTCCTTTATCAAGTCCAATGTCATAGCTGAGACCACCAAGATCCAGGTCAGATTATGGACCCCAGCAACCTTTGCTTGTCCTAAGAGGCAACTAAATGGATCGGGTGGTCACGCTCTGTGACTTGGTTGATTGGATGTCATTGTATCTCAATTGAGTGGATCGATGCTCATGATGTCAATCACTGGATTACAGAATGCCATCGTACAGTTTGTATACTTCAGAGTTGCATGTTAAACAAGAAACAAACAAGCCAACCACAATAACACAAGCATGGGATGAAGACTTGCCAATAGGACTATTCTCCTTTTTCATCTTCCCATCATATCCACACCAGTGCCTGGAGAGCTGTCAAATCTAATTCATTTTTTTCAAAATTGATCCAACATATATTTGTCACAAATGGATTCTGCAGTAGACAAAAGTATTCCTACCTTTCATGATCCAGTCATCAACATATGCTACATCCAGGTATGTCCTTCACAATGAAAAGTTCAATAACACCCAGATTACTAACTAACCTTCAACATCAATACACACTATCAGCAAGGTCAAAAGAAAAAGAACATATTTCTCCATTTCAGTCCAATATTTAAACATAAATTGGCAATCTGTTGCACTTTTTAAGGAAGTAATTGTTCCACTTGTCTACCTTAAAATCAAGAGACTGGACTCTGTTTTTACAATATGTATCATACACGAAGGTACTCACCACTTGAAATAATGTGTGTTCGCATCTCAAAGTAAGTCAAAAGAACCTTAAATACAGGTGCATGTTTTCTTTCAGTTCATGATGTTAATAACTGTATGCTGTTAGTATAGTTGTTCGCAGTCTCCTGTTTGCCAACCCTTACCCAGATTGTAACCAAATGATCAAACCTCAATGATGATACACTGTATATTTCTTGAACATGTTAAAAAGCATTCCTTGCAAATTTTGTCATTACCTTCAGTAATATTCCTTATCCCAAGAAAAACCTTTTTTCACATTATAAGTAGTTGAACTCATGCAGCTTTCTGACTGCTTCCGTGGTCTAGTGGCAGAGCGTCTGCCCAGAGAGCGGAAGGTCTGGGGTTCGATCCCTGGCCGCGTTATACCAACAGATGTTAAAAGATGGTACTTTTTGTTACCCCGTCTGGCGCTTGGCATAAAGGGGCTAAAACAAGGACTGGTCAGCTTGGAGTCAGCATACTGTGTCTGAGTGGGGAATTCATGTTAAACTGTGGCATGGTATCTCAGTGGGCTAGCACTATAAATCGGCATCAGTCCGGACTAGTACAAGCAGCCACACACACCCGTGCATGCACGTCGCTATATCAGTGCAATAATCTTGGACGCAACATTATACCCCATTTCACCCTCACCTCAACTCACATGAAGCTATCTTTCATTAATTATTAATCGCGACATTTTTTATTCTATTTCAAGTTGAAAGAACTATAGTGGTGTCACAAGCATTGTACACCCAGAGGGACAACATAACACACTTCAAATAAGGAATTAATAGCTTTATTTTCTCATCTGGAAGGATTAATTCATCTAATCTTTCATGAAACTATCGGAACATAGTGAAAATATTTCATAACATATTCAAGGAAAAACCAAACAAATGTATACATTATTGCTATCAGCAGTAACACGAAGGCCCCGTCACACACTTGAGCAAGAACAAGCAGCCAATTATGCACAAAACTCACATATCCTTTCAGGTATATAATCACGTATATCCTGCCAATGGAAAGTCAACGTCTTCTTTATAACTACCAGGCAAAGAAGAGTATACACTTGACAACTGGACTTGACAAAAGAAATTCAAAGGCTATCGAAATTACTAGGCTGAAAACAGTTGACGAAACAGTGAAAACTGAGTGTATATTTTCTTTTGCCTGGCAGTTTATAAGCTCTGATTGAACTCAGTCTTGTCATTGAACACCATTTTGGATTTTGTTTTTGGGAATGATATACATCCTAAATGGAAAACATTATGGTATCAGTGCCTCCTAGTTGTAACAACCACTGTGACACACACTCTGCTAGTATGGCCATTCAGTATATACATGTCATAGTACTGGTTAGTGTGAATATACAAGACTCTGAAAATACCACAACAATTGGAATTCATAACAAACTACTTCCAAGATGATTGTTTGTATCATATACTGAAGTACTGAAACATAGTGTCTCTTTCTGGGTGTCTGTGGATGAGTGTGTCTTTCTTTGTGTGTGTGAGTGTGTGTGTGTGTGTGTGTGTGTGTGTGTGTGTGTGTGTGTGTGTGTGTGTAGCTTTCTCTGTGTATCTCTTTCTGTGTGTCTGTGGATGAGTGTGTCTTTCTGTGTGTGTGTATCTTTCTCTGTGTGTCTGTCTCTCTGTGTTTGTGTGCGTGTTTGTGTGTGTCTGTCTGTGTGTGCATCTGTGTGTAAGTCTCTGCATGTGTGTCTTTCTGTGTGTGTGTGTGTATGTGTATGTATGTGTCTTTATGTGTGTGTCTGTCTGTTTATGTGTCTGTGTGTATGCCTGTCTATGTGCATCTGTGTATGTGTCTGTGTATGTCTCTGTGAGTGAATGTCTGTGTGTGTCTGTCTGTCTATGTGTGCATCTGTGTGTGCATCTGTGTGTGCATCTGTGTGTGCGTCCTTGGGTCTGAGTGTACGTCTGTGTGCATGCCTCGGTAACAAACACATACAAAACCAGGCAGGTACATGGTATACCCATGAAATATTTCCATTGTCATGGAATGCTTGCAGATGAAACATTGTTTCAAGGTAACAGAAAAGAATTAAAAAGAATATATGCCCAAACAAAAGAAAACATAAAAACAGATATTATTCAGACATAAATAAATAATTATTTGGAGTAAATAATGTGGATGAACACCAGGCAATAAAAAAACAGAGACAAAACAAATAGAATGTGTTAATATCAATAGCTTGTACATGTTGTATATTGGATTTCAATTGAACAAATAAGTTATACATAAGAAACGAGAAAAGTAAATACTTCATGATCTGACAACAATTTATACTACAACCTACAGTAAATCAAAGTAAATAAAGTTGACTAAACACTAATATTTACGATACACACATAAACTTGATAAAGATATTCCTAAATGATTGTCAAGTAAAAATGAAGAGAACTTAAGAAAAAGTATAACTTATAAGACTTTAACATGAGGAACTGGTTCATTAATATAACTAATAAAGTCTGACGTAAACATAAGGAACTGGTTCATTATTATATCTTATTAAGCCTGACGTAAACATGAGGAACTGGTTCATTAATATAACTAATAAAGTCTGACGTAAACATGAAGAACTGGTTCATTATTTTAACTAATAAAGTCTGATGTAAACATGAGGAACTGGTTCATTATTATATCTTATTAAGCCTGACGTAAACATGAGGAACTGGTTCATTAATATAACTAATAAAGTCTGATGTAAACATGAGGAACTGGTTCATTATTATATCTTATTAAGTCTGACGTAAACATGAGGAACTGGTTCATTAATATAACTAATAAAGTCTGATGTAAACATGAGGAACTGGTTCATTAATATATCTTATTAAGTCTGACGTAAACATGAGGAACTGGTTCATAAATATATATTATTAAGCCTGGCGTAAACATGAGGAACTGGTCCATTAATATAACTAATAAAGTCTGACGTAAACATAAGGAACTGGTTCATTATTATATCTTATTAAGCCTGACGTAAACATGAGGAACTGGTTCATTAATATAACTAATAAAGTCTGATGTAAACATGAGGAACTGGTTCATTATTTTAACTAATAAAGTCTGACGCCAACATGAGGAACTGTTTCAGTAACACAACTTTAAAGCCTGACCTAAACTAGACAAACTGGATCAGTAAACTAAGACACAAGCCTTAAGCTCCATATAACTGTTACTTTGTGAAATCTAAACAACACATATTGTCATGAAAGATTATTTACAACTTAACTGGCTGAAAATACTTCCCACAACCTCATACAATTACAATTATAATTGTAATAGTTTGATACACAAAACAATATTTTAAGTAATCATATAGTAAAATTATCACAAATCACATGTAATTGCACTCACAATAATACATCTACTGTTCACATGGTACCATGTGATGCAGTTAGCTGGTAAACAATAAAGGTAAACACCATCAATTAATACTGACCATACAAAACTGAAAATGTCCCCTGCATCATGTACAAGGTACTGCGTTCATCCAGTAGGAGATTTCATACAAACTGATTACAAATAACATAAAATGTATAATTGGATGTGTGAGATTCTCAACAAGACACAAAGAATAATAAGAAATGTGTCTGTACTTGAAGAATGTGTACCAGCAGTTGTTTCATATGCATCGACAGTGACACAAAATGTTCAACTATCCACCAGCTACCAAAGATCAATTAACAAAAACAAACCATTCTGACTAATGATAAGCATAAATATATGTTTCTATATCCATATTACAAAGTAAGACCAAAACAAACAAGCCACATTTAATTTGTTAAGAGCTGATTGAAAAGCTGTTTCAAGGATAAATAATATGATGAATCCGATTATATGAAAATAAGGTTTGCATTAGGCTGCAGACAAATCTTATTTAATATTTGATGAGAATGTAAACATATATTTATTTGTCAGCACCAAAAACATACACAAATGGTTGGTTTCAGAACAGCAATATATGTTTTGCAGCTAAATATTGACATTATATGTAAACAATAAATAGTTGAGATGTATCACATGGAGCATATTCAGTAGTTTTACTCACGGTCCTGAACGTTCCTACCCAGTGACATGGTATAAACACAAGCATCATTCTCCACGACAATCATTTTCTCACCAATCATTCAAAGTTATCTAACACAAAAGGTAACCAAGTTTCAAAGACAATAGCAAAGGCACATGTTTCATGGAGCATCTGTGACAGGATTAACTGTAGGACAAGGGATGACAATAAACACCAGCTGATGAACAGAAGCAAGTTTGGTCCACAACAAAGCCATGGCTAATGCTCCATGCAGATGCAGACACAGAAAGGCTCTATGATGCCTGTTCTAGAATCAACGCTGCCCACAATTTAACATTAACACATGCACTGTATATTCAAAACATATTGCAACCTCTTTAATAACCATGCATTTCAAAAGAATAATTCATCATACAGATAAATATACACATGTTGGTTGAGTGTGACAGTGAATAATTTAGCCGACTGAGGGCATGTTTACGAATATATAAACATGTATACAACAACACAAATGGTCGTGAGGATTTATGTCAAGAATGGTTGCATTCTTAATAAGTTTCAATAATCATCATGATAATCCAATATGTCCTGTTCCCTAACTCTCTGGATTTACAGATGCTACCACACTGTAACTATTTATAAAATAATCATAATACCTAGTTGCTGTTCATTGACGACATGTCAGTATTGAAAAGAAGCAAAACAAACATAAAATGATATTTCCATTGTATTATTGTCAGCCCAAGACAAGGGCCCACTCAACTTATTCTACTACTCCAGTACATAACACCTCAGACATCAATGGAGTGCGATATTGCATGAAAGCATGTAAACCATGTCTTGTCACATCCCGCTGCATGTATAACACGACGTCCATTTCTATAAAGACTAGTTCTTCTGTGCTTAACAGACATAAGTATACACTCTGATTTGAAGACAAAAACACACAGAAACCAACAGTTACATGAGGTTCACGCCTTCCATCAGTTTCTGTCCTAGCATGTGACAGTCACATACAGGAAACTAGGTCCAGTGCTGGCAAGGAGAGTGCAGATCACAGAACTGGGTAATGAGGTACAACTAGACACTGACTCAGCCAGTGACAGTCACATACAGGAAACTAGGTCCAGTGCTGTCTAGGAGAGTGCAGATCATAGAACTGGGTAATGAGGTACAACTACACACTGACTCAGCCAGTGACAGTCACATACAGGAAACTAGGTCCAGTGCTGGCAAGGAGAGTGCAGATCACAGCTCTACACACTGACTCAGCCAGCTTCAAACACCCCCTGCAGGTTTTGTCCAGCTAATCATAACTTTACTATCAATAACATGGAACGGATTCAGGAGAGCTTTCTTGTCCTTCAGTTTCCTATGGTAACTCAATAAACAACAAAAGATGCAATTCTGTCAATGGTAAATGACTACGCTGCTCCAAAACATGCAATTCTGTCCATTGGCTAATGATTGTATACTGGCAAACAAAACAAAATGTAATTCTGTCCATGGGAAAATTATTGTATATAGCTATACAAAACAAGATGCAATTATGTCCAATGGTATATGATTGTATACTTCTAAACAAAACAAGATGCAATTCTGTCCAATGGTATATGATTGTAAACTGCTAAACAAAACAAGATGCAATTTTATACAAGAGTAAATTATTGTATATTGCTCAACAAAACAAGATGCAATGCTGTCCAATGGTAAATGATCATATACTGGTTATGGCAAGGGCAGCACATCGTATTATTGTGGAGACATCAAAATACAAAAGCACATGGTTTCTATTTCACAAGCAGCACAGTACATGTAGTATCAGGTCACATCATAAAGAAAGGCCACATACATTATATATGACATAAAATATTCATGTGAAAATATCTGATTCACAACCAGTGTTTGATATAGAATGGATGACGTGTGAATTCAACGACCATGTCAATAAAATGTGGGCTTTGAGACTTTTGTAAACTCTCAGATGAAAATAGTTAATGCTTGACAATCTAAAACATATTCCATAGCTTCCTGTAATCAGGTTTAAGTGGAATTAACCACAGCCCAATTTGGAAAACACAAAGTTGGAAGTATTAAAAAAGAATTGGTGGTCATTGTAGTGGCAGTTATCTGCACAACATTAAACAGCGCTGGACAGCATGGTCAGAAAGGCCTGTGTGCTTTATACTGTGTCCTATTCAGAGCTCATGTATACTGAAGCATGACCCATATTGAAAAGATCTGCATGGTATTATATTTATGAATGCCTTGAGTGGAATGTTTATGGAAGATTCATAACATAAAAAATATACTTATGGCTGCAAACAATAATAGTCTTGCTTATCAGGCACTGGCTGCATCATCATATAGTTTTCCACACATTTCAGTTTTATTTCCATTTTTAAAAAAATAAAAAAACCTCAAATAATCCAAGTCCATGGGTAGTTAAATACTGTATTCCAGTATTTTACTCATCAAGGAATATTTTATGAAGGCCTTTCCTAGGTGGATTGTACACAACTCTTTATTTGGTTACTTATAAGTTTGAACAACCCCACAACAAAAAAAGAAAAAAAGACACCGCCCACCCACACTATATTTTCAAAAGCCATTGCCTGAGAACAAATTCTTTTATTTTTTTAAAAATACTTCTTCAAACAGGACATACAACATGTACAACCCTTGTCCTTAAACAACCAGAATGTCGATGTTCTCTGTAACATACAAGAGAAACAAAAAGAACATAATAGTTCAACAAAATAAACAGCATCACCACCATGCAGTACTACCATGTGTACCCACCAAAACTACTGACACACAACTGGCACAAACATTATATCTAAAACAAATTCTATAACAATTCTCATTACACAACGAATGTGAATTTCAATCACCTTAAATCAAATAACCTTTCCATGAAAATAATAGGGAGATTCAAAATACTTCAGCTGATTTTGAGAAACATATTGCATGTATAGTACCTGACATGCATAAGCATGATAAGTATAAGTATACCTATCCAACATGTTGAAAAATGTTCAAGTCTCGTCTTTCAAATACCAGTTGCCATGTTGCATTAGTTGGCATGTTCCAGGTGCCAGACACAAGGCACTAGCTGTGAATAGTACAAACTGACAGGATACTCTTTCCAGTCACACATTCTCCTATCACATCAGAGACTTACTGGAAGAAAATGATGGCATATGGTGTTTAACTGATGTACATGATCAATGCTTTCATTTTCAGGTAAACAGTATGATGTAGGACTGGGACGGGTAACTCGGGTACTTGTGTCGGGTTGGTACTGAGTAGGACCCGGGTAAACACAGCACTACCTGGACCTGTGCCTAGTCACGTGATATATTGTTTAATGACAGAAATTACTCCATGGTTACACTACATGTCTCTACTACTGGCATTTCTTTATGACTTTTATATGTTTGAATAAAGATAAAACTTTAGTCAACTTCAGTGTATGCATGACCAGATCATTTTATACAGGTATCTACATTTTGACAGGAGTACAGTCAAACTATTCCCAAAAGGACATTTTGTACCTATCTCTTGAGACCTACAGTGGGTACCTGGGTAGTAAATTTAGACTCATCCCAGCCCTAGTATGATGCCATATTTCTTGCAAATTCTCTATTCCAAAATGAACTGATATGACTCCATTTATATAAATTCTGCAAACATGTTACCATGGTTACAGTAATAGTTAAAAAAATACATAAAATACTTATAATGTTGATAAATGCCAGAAATATTTTACTGGTCCTTGAGAGCCATCTCGAGCCAGTCGTCAGCATCTCCATCCGAATCATCAGCATCTTCTGTTCGGAGAAGACGTACATACTTTATCTTCTCCTTCTTTGGAAGACAGAGAGAAATAACCAGGTACACCAATGCCCAAATCCCAGTGAGAACACTTCCTGTCCAGTACAACACAGAGATACCAAACAAATCATACAATATGCCTGAAAACACACTTCCGGCAGAAAACCCAACACCAAAGTATACAGACGATAGGATGGATCGGATACTCCGGTCAACAGCAGGACCGACATTGAAATCATCATAGCTGAGAATAGCATACCACATTGCAGTGTGGGTGAACGCATGCAATAATTCAGCTGGAAGTACTGCCCATGGCACCCACAAGAAGGAATAATATAGCGTACGAATAGTCATCGCCAGGAGGGAAAGTGTCACAACTCCAGCGTTTCCGATTTTATTCACTAACTTACCGCTAAACATGAGCATTGGGATTTCAACAAAGGCACCAATAGTGACACATAATCCCATGTTGACTTCCTTTCCTCCTCGGTCCTGGATGAGCCAGAAGAGGTAGTTGTGTACCGAAGCATAGGTAGCTCCCATGATGAGCAGAGTGACCACATACAGGAAGCCACGGCAGTCACAGCAGATTATCTGCAGTCCTCTCACAACCTTACTCTTGGTCCTCTTCTTCTCAGGAGGTGGCACCGGGTAGAAGAACGCAATCAGGAATGTCAGTCCAATGAAGACACCAAACACATAGAAGTGGATGAGAAAATGATGGATGTCATATGGCAGCAAGCAATTCGAGTAATCAACAGCCAGGGACACAATGAGCGGGAAAATTGTGAATGCGATTGACCCTGATAGTCTCTGTTTCCCATACTTCTCGAGATCATCCACTCTGTCCAGGAAGTCAAACCAGGAATCATCAGCCACTTTCTCCACAGGGGAACACATGAACTCCCCCAACATCACGACCACCAGGACGATGAGGAACACCTCCATCTTCCTCTCCTCAATCTCAGTCACTAGATTCGTCATCTTGTCCCTGAAGGAGTTCCATGTCTCATGGATGTCTCTAGTGTCCCTGTGGCTTACTTCGTGGCTGCCTTTACCATCAGACTTCATCAGTTTCGGCCAAAGGTCATTAAACACAGCCTGTGATAACCCTGTGTCTGGGTAGTGTGTGGTAATCAATACAAATGCCTCCTCAGCAGTGACTTTATTGTCCTTAATATCCTTTATAGAGTATCCCATTTGTTTCAACATTTTTATAACAAGACCAACGATTTCTGCATCTGTTTCGTTAACTGACTTATCCCGATCAGAGACAGGCGAACCAGTAGCTGATGGCTCTTTTCCTTTGACAGTTGTTGGTGGTGGAAGAGTCGTAGATGAGCGGGTAATTTTTGTTGTGGTGGTCTGTATTGTTGTAGGAGTTGTTTTAGTTGTAGTTGTAGTGGCAGTTGCATTGGTTACTCCTTTACCCAAAGCTGATGCAGTAGTTAGTTTATCAGCTACTGAGTCATCCTTCACAGCATTTTCAATATGCTTACTGACTGGTGGGTGTGTTGCCATGGCTGTACTAACATATGACTGACTAGTGTTTCCACCATGTCCATCCCTGGGTGTCTGACACATAGTCTTGGCATTTTTTAGATGACTGAACACAAATGACAGTGAGAGATATGTTGCTGCCATGATGAACAGAGAGAACATGAGAACAGTTCTCCTTTTATTGTAAGCTATTGCACACTTGGACCATAACGGTGCCCACACAAACCCTGTTACAGTCTTAGCAGCCATGATGATGCCTGTTTCTGTGGCAGACAGGCCAATAAGACGGCAAAAGATTGTCAGAAAAGGTATGAGTGATGCCTTAGCTGCTGAAAAACAGAAGTGGAATATGTTGCACACCAGAACAGATCTCGTTAAGTTGACAGTCTCCATCTTTGTTTTTGATTATTCACTTTTGCAGTGTGAGGTATTCGTGGGCTAGGTATGGCTGGTTTCGAAAAGGGAGAATATTACCTGAAAGAGAAGAAGGTGATATTCAAAAAACATGTTGTATGTAAATATACCACCTCCATTTTGATTCACTCTTTTTCAACAAGTCAGCTTATTTTTTCCCGAATCAGTAAATGTTTCTTATAAAATGTTCACAAACCCTCAACCATTGGTTAAGTTTTGATGTAAACTAAAAGAATAAAGAAACTGGTTTGGTTCATAATGCATATGTCACCTTGAATAATTATTCCAGTTCTCTTTGATGACTCATCCTGCTACAGTTAACGTGGTTAATTCAGGATGCATGCAAGAAAACCAGTAAAATGACACCAAAAGATAAGCAGTAAGGGATGGAAATACGGAAATGTTCTGTTCAGTGATCATGGACAAATGAGTTCAGTTGGACCAGCATTAGATCTATTTGGTAACATTCTGAGACACCAATGATTTTAAATACATCAAAATGTTAGTCTAGTCACTAACGCCAACAAAAACCTTTCAATGAGTAAACCAAAATAATATCCGTACAGGACAAATGAAAACATCACAGCAATACCAGAGTTGTGTACGGAATGTTTTTGTAACAAAATGGCAACAGAATCTGACAAATTAGGGTGTACAAACTGAATATTTCAAGTCTACCTCTGTACCGCTACCTGTTGATTCTCACAAGTTAACAGATGTGGAAATGTCGTAAAAGGATTAAATACATTCTACAAAATAAGACCTAACAAAAATTAATCACGTATACCTGTTTCAATCTTGGCATTACTTCCGTACCACTATGTGATACATATAGAGTTTACATATGCGATATATCCATTTACGACTGTTGTGTTTACAACATTTCAGAACAATTTACGATCCTCTCCCACCAAGCTCCAATACAGTGTTTTTCAATGCCACCACGTTGCACTCGCCTAAGGAAACGATCCACGGCCGGAAACGACGCATCTCTGTTAGGAGCTTGTGTGCCAGCGTGTAATAACTTGCAATGGCCGATTCGTCATCTGCAACTGAGAATTCCAAGGTACAACAGGCTCCTGACAGCAAGACAACTGGCGTGCCAACGATGGAAAGAGGTGCAGTGGCCGTAGAAAAAGTTAAACCGAAAGGCATCCTCGACCAACTCGATGAAACTACAAGACAAGCTGAAAGGAAATTCCAGGGTGTAAGGATCCATTAATGTTCTGCTAATACGATCTGTCTGAGTGTTTGGGTATCTTGTTGCTATATCTACAGGTGTTGTATTCTCTAAGTTTCTGCGTGTTATGTATCATTGACTGAACACTATGAATTCATCCATTTGTAGTTTGCATTGTCTAGTACGCGTTTCATCCAATGTATTTCATACATGTATTGATGTACCAGGAAATAGTCAATAGATTATCTGAGCTGGTGGTTTGAACTTTGATTTTATTCTTCATTTTTAATTTTACCACCTACATCTTAGAATCCATTTTAATTAGATCTATTAGGTAATGTTTGACATGGGGTGACTTACCATCACAACCAGATCAACAACCTAAGGCATGAATAGCAAACACTTTAATCACCACACCAACATCATACTTAACTACAAATGCAAAGCTACTGAGATGAATGATCTTACTTATAAGTTTCCAATTACATTCAAACATTGATCAGTTTACCCACTAATAGTGACAAGATTAATTGGCCAACCATAAGTATGATACAATAACATATTACCATGATTACAACAATTATAAATGTTTAACAATCAGTAAGTCATATGCTTCTTTCAATTTCAAATATTTGACTTTTCATTAAACATTTACATGATGAAATGACGTAAACAACATACTGATAGTATAATGACAAGATAAGAAATTCTCATTGACTAAACACATCATGTATACTACATGACTAACAACATGAACAAATAACAGAAAACATAAACATTAATATAATAACAAAAATGATAATTTCAAATCTCAATCATGATCACTGGTCAATGATGTCATAATGACATGTACAAATCACTACTACATGATAGCAGCAGCAGCAATCCATCTGTACAGAAATCATATATTCTTGACTCTTTACAAAATCTTCAATAGATTTAGCAATGCTAGTGTTAATATACAGACTATTATCTACACTTACTACTACAATTGGTCAGAACAAATTTACTACTGTTAGACTTGAGCTTTGGACAAGTGTATTATTGTGGATGGAGTTAGAAACTGCACCACAACAAGCCACTCCATGCAGTGTTTTACATTAGGCATGAAAGTCATTGTGTCATTGCCATCCCAATAATGTTAACCGTTAAAGATTTACTACATTTAGGGGCCCCGCGGTCAAATAATAAGGCAGCAAATCTCGAGGACCCCCATAAATTTCAAACACTGATACATGTCTCAAAAACCTTGTCAGGATTGCGGGTTAGAATAACTCCCTGGCCTTACCTGGGCGGCTAATTATTTTGGGTGGTCAGACGTGGTGACTGTTGATTGCACGTCATCATACTCTTGAAATGAGGCATGATATCTCTGTAGGCCAGCACAGGGGTGGTCGGGTAGTCCAGTGGTTAAAGCGTTCGCTCGTCACGCCGAAGACCCGGGTTCGATTCCCGACATGGGTACAATGTGTGAAGCCCATTTCTGGTGTCCCCCGCCGTGATATTGCTGGAATATTGCTAAAAGCGGCGTAAAACCATACTCAGTCCGCACTAGTACAAACAGCTAAACACATGCATGCACATGCATGTTTAAATGCAAACATCTCGAACACGACATAATACACCATTTCACCTCACGTGTTGTCAATCATCAGGACACCAAGTCGTGTCTTACCAACATATGCCATGGTATAAACTTCTTGTCTTCAGAGTTGTTCCGATTTATTGAAGAATGTTTCATTTAATGTTCAAAATCTATATATTTTTATTGTCTTAGTTTAGTTTATTTTGATAATGATAAAATGAGTATAACTATGATAAAGACTAAAATCTTTCATGACAAACAAAAGGTTTCAGCCATGTTGCTGTTGCAAGTTCCCTGGAGGCTGTGTTTTTGAAATATCATTTCAGAGTTTTGCTGTTACACATGTTTATCGTGTTTATTGTGACTTTCAACACGTACGAGGAGGATGCAAAGAATAAATGCTCCAGATATAGGATTGTAATATTGTCACACACAGTGGATCATCAGATGTTGAATTCATTATATGTTGGTACTCTTAAGGGTTTCCTGACCCCCATGCTGGCAGAACTAGAGAAAAATGTGGCCAAGAGTAATGAAGTCCTGGATAAGATCAACCAGTAAGTATACCAGAATTGTAGGCATTTATAGCATCGTCTGCCACGAGAGGACAACCATATTTTGAAATTTGGGAAATAATAACAATAACAACGTTACAATAAAACATTCATGTTAAGCATGTTAAGTGTATTTATATATTAATAACATGAATGTGTGTTGTTTGTTTATCATGTATTTGTAAATCCCTGACCCATAACAAAATGTGATGTCATATGTTTCATGAATTCTATTTTGTCTTCAGTCAGTTGTCTTTTTTGGTTGATATGTAAAATAAGCCTCGTTTGCCCACATTACATTAAAGACCTGACGATGATGATTTCCTGATTAAGATAGTGCTGTTCAGTTCCCCGAGGTAGTTTCAACATGACAGCTTAATGATGCTCTAAGCCTGAAGGTCTGTCTTACTTGCTGTTGACCTGACTCACACAAAGACTTGCTATCTGTTCATCCTGCGTCCCTAGGCTATATTTGCTGCAAGCTGCTACCATGCCGTGATAGGGACATTGATAACAATACTTCTTGCTGAAAGTTAGCAGATTGCTGAAGAAATAACCAAATATTGAGTAATCTTTTCATAATCAGAATAATCTTTAAGAATATAGATCTACTAGTAAATTGCAAAGACCAATTAAGACATGTCCAAAATAGTACCCTGATTGGATTTATGAGACTTGATGAAGGACAGGAAAAATAGTATGTATACAGGAGAGTGTTTTGGGTTGCTTGCTATAGGGTACGTTTGAGTGTAGAGGATGCATGATCATAGGAAGCATTGTGTTACAGGTAGGGCTGTTACGATTCACTCGCATATTCAGTGAATCGAACCGTATCCATTCATGAATTGAATTTGTTATTCGTGGCCACTTGAATCAAATATTTATGAATATGCAAGCATGTACATTTACATAAAAATACACATAAGAACATATTATAGGTATAGATTTCTTCAAAAGACAATACTCTTATACTATTTAATTTGACAGTATTGTGGTCACTGGTCATGTCGCATTTGAGGAGATACTAAACCTGGATAAGTGCAGTATATAAATGTATAATATATTAATAATTAACAAACCATGTCAAATAATGTATGTTGTTATTGCTTCACTGAATATAACAAATATACATCAGCTGCTGACTTGTTATTGTATTCGAAAATTAATATTCGTATTCGTTACCCTGTATTAGTGATACAAATCATATTCACCTCATAGTGTATAGTTGCAGCCCTGGTTACAAGCATTTTGATATGGTGTACAATCACTATCATCATATAACCTTATCTTTATATGTAATCTGTAAGTAATACTTTATACGTTTTTTTCATAAAAAAATTGACATGATTAAAGCATTTTCAAAGTAATATAATCATGAAAAGAAGCATGCCAATAATATCGTTATGGTAAAAGTCTCTTACTTCTTATATTAATCTACTTTTGGGTTAATTTAACCAATGTTGTTTTGTAGGATCAGAGACCGGTCATTTATTATAAGGGGGATGGGATCACAAGTTTTGTCCTTCATATATTTTATTATTGTTCTTCTGAAAGCTGCAAAACATTCACAGTCTGATGTGTGTTATTTCAGAGGTATGGAAGCCGAGAGACAGGAGAGGCTGAAGGCCAGGCTGACATCTCACATTCCAGAGGCAATGAAGGGAGGGTAGGTCATGTCTTAGTATATCCAGGAAACAAAAGTTACAGCCCTGATTCGGAGGAAGGGGTGGGGTTTGGTGGTGGTGGTGGGGGGAGATATCGATAGCTGTGTAAGTACTGCTTCACAAGTCTGTGTGAACATTCTGTGGGTGACGGAAAGATCCACATAACAGGTGACTGCGTCGGATTGTGATGCGGTGCACGTGGAGTGTTCAGCAATGTGCCTCGTCATCTGGCACAAGAGCAAACCTTCCACCCCTGCTGTTATTATCGACTGCATGGATATGCAAATCTAGGGTTCACTTTTCAGTTCACACTTATTTTGTTTTGCAGTACAATGAATGGAAGTGCCTAGCCTTACATGACATATTATTTTATTTGCAGCTTGTTACATTTTTGGTGCCTAGTTTAATACCAGTAACAATAATTGTAGGATAGAGGGTTCTAACATTTTGAATTACCACTGGAATTCATTTTGTTTTTCTTTCTTCTTTTAGTGGACAGAAAATAGAGGATGTTTTAAGAGCAATTGAAGAACTGATCCTGTATGGAGATTCTGATACAGAGACGGTGAAAGACAGGTAAGTCACACCATTGGCAAGGCCAGATAGAGTGAGTTTGGTTTTACATCACTTTTAGCAATATCATGGCGAGGGACACTAGAAATGGGCTTCGCATATTGTACCCATGTGGGGAATCGAACCGGATCTTCGGCGTGACGAGCAAATGCTTTAACCACTAGGCAACCCCCCTCCCCCAGGCCACATAGAGTTGTGTGGGGAACAGTATCTGGGTGAACAAAAAGTTGGAACAGGAACCATCTCTAGTCGGAGCATGGATTCTACACCATTGTCCCCTACACCCAGTTGTACTCCCACGCTGTACTTGCTATGTCAGCGGTAATCAGTCTGCAAGGCATTTGTTCCATCCAGGGTAAATGTATCATGGAAAAGTTTACCTAGTATCAAATGTTCAATATCAATAATTACTCTTGAGGAAAATAGTACAAAGGAACATTTTCATTAGAGGTAGAGATACTCTTTGACCACTGTACCTAGTAATCTGGTTCTGTAAAAGATATTTGTGAGATGCCAAGTGAATTGAGATGAAATAGTTAATTGTAGTCTTTGATCGGCATTTAGAAGTTGGAGGAATTGAATACATGACGCTTTTTGTGTTGATAAAACAACTTCTTATATTTTTTGTAATGACGTTTCAGAGGTGAAAACTGTTTTCACCCGATGAAAGGTCAAGCAGTAGCCTGGAAGTGTTGAACAAAGAATAAAAGAAGTTGTTATCCCCCCAAAAGTGTCATGTATTCATAGTGAATTGTAGCTCTCCCACAGTTCTAGATCTAGTCTCTATGTACAGTTTGCATAGTTAAGGAATTTTACTCCACTTTTTGAGGCAAAGTATCTCATTTATTATGTACAGCTTTGTTTGACAGGTATACTGCAATGTTACCAACTAATAATTTTAATCATGCCATTTACAGTTACATAGATGTATGTATTAAGGAATCAGTTCTGTGTATTAAAGTTAGTTTTGTATCGATGAAGTTGTAAATAGGGGTTATAACATGGGTGTATGTAATCCTGATCTTTAAAAATGAGTCTGAATGGTTTTATTTGCAAAGTGAAGTTTTGTAAAATCACTATGACACGGACACAAGGCGAAGTTTCATAAAATCACAATGTAGTATTCAGATATAAATTTGATCTCTTTGTTGCCCACACATGTTGTTGGTTGTGTGTTGTATATATAACTGCATGGAAAACAACAAGGAAAGTTCTACATGAAAAAACGCTGTAGTTAATGTGTCAAACTTGTGACTGGCTGTGTATACGGATGTTGACATATGCTGTTTATATGGACATGTGCTGTGTATATGGATGTTGACTTGTGCTGTGTATACGGATGTTGACATATGCTGTTTATATGGACATGTGCTGTGTATATGGATGTTGACTTGTGCTGTGTATACGGATGTTGACATATGCTGTTTATATGGACATGTGCTGTGTATATGGATGTTGACTTGTGCTGTGTATACGGATGTTGACATATGCTGTTTATATGGACATGTGCTGTGTATATGGATGTTGACTTGTGCTGTGTATACGGATGTTGACATATGCTGTTTATATGGACATGTGCTGTGTATATGGATGTTGACTTGTGCTGTGTATACGGATGTTGACATATGCTGTTTATATGGACATGTGCTGTGTATATGGATGTTGACTTGTGCTGTGTATATGGATGTTGACCTATGCTGTTTATATGGACTTGTGCTGTGTAATGGATGTTGACTTGCCTGTTTTCCAGGGAGGTGCTTCTACAGAAGCTGGACGATCACGGCCAGGTGGCTGTCATGGCCCACAGTTTGGCTGCATATGTCTCAACACTGGACGAGGAACATCTGAAGAAGTTCACAGCCAGGATCACTTCCGACTGCCAGCTCTGGCTGTCCAGACTCTTCAGGTACCTAAAAGACATGGTCAAATCAGTGTCTGACAAATCAGGGTCCAGTCAAACCAGGGTCCAGTCAAACCAGGGTCCAATCAAACCAGGGTCCAATCAAATCAGTGTCCGGACAAACCAGGGTCCAATCAAACCAGGGTCCAATCAAACCAGGGTCTGGTCAAACCAGGGTCCAATCAAACCAGGGTCCAGTCAAACCAGGGTCTGGTCAAACCAGGGTCCAGTCAAACCAGTGTCCGGACAAACCAGGGTCCAGTCAAACCAGGGTCCAATCAAACCAGGGTCCAATCAAACCAGGGTCCAGTCAAACCAGGGTCCAGTCAAACCAGGGTCCAATCAAACCAGGGTCCAGTCAAACCAGGGTCCAATCAAATCAGTGTCCCGTCAAACCAGGGTCCAGTCAAACCAGGGTCTGGTCAAACCACGTTCCGGACATTGACCGTTACTCATCATGTGTATACATGGACTTGAAGTAGATGTAGCATGAAGGCTGCTTTGTGAAAACAAGTCAAGCAGATGAAAAATTCATTTACTTAACTGGCATGTTTCCTATCAATTTGAGATTTCTGACTTCAATGATGTGGCCAAGTTCTTACGTCAGAGCAATGAAAAAATGGTAACTCTTCATTAAGAAAGCAGTTTTGAAATGTGAATACAGCTTATAAGATTTGTGTATGTCATCTGTAGTCTTTTGAATATTGTAACAAGTGCAGAATATTAGAGTGCAGCATGATTTTCTTTTTTGAAGATTTCAAAACTGCTGTAACTATTTATACTTACACTAGCACGTTTATTTGTATTAGATTTGAAGATTCGTCAGTGGTGTACCATGAAGATCCACGAGACGGTCTTGTCAAGATATGTCGCCTGGCTCTGTATCAGAAATACCCAAAGTATGCCACTGAAGGGTTCGAAGCACTGTACTCTCGGCCCCCCGTCATCTACATCAGTGCCGCGTCGCGACCCGGCCTCGGACATTACCTGTGTCTACAGGTGAGACATTCTAAAAGCTACAAAAAATCAATAATCCCACGTTCTGTCATTGCAGGAGGAGTACATATTTAGTGTGATGCATTACCTGGTTGGCTGTACTTTAACACTCTATTGTTTCAACTAGTTGGAAGATAAAATTCTGCAGACAAAGGGGAGATAATTTAAGTAATGGAGTGAGTGAGTTGGGTTTAACGCCGCTTTTAACAGTATCCCAGTTATATCGTGGCGTGTCAGCTTAATGTGGGAGGAAAGCCCGAAGTGATGCAGGTCTCAGACGTTTACCACTTCGGTGAACCCACGAGCATGGGTGTGGTGGATTAAATGGTGGACACAATCATAGATTTCTGGCATGCCCTAGGACTGCAACTCTGCACACAAAAATGTGGCACTTTGGACAACCTTTAAGTAAAGGAAAAAACAATAACCTGTTTTCAATTTAGGGATGCAGGTCTTCTGTTTACTGTGGTACTGATAGAGTTATAATTATTGGTTATCATGATATCATCTATGCCATTACTGTACCTAATGTCCAGTTAGACAATACCACATGCAGCTAGATGTAAATGGGCCTCAAGATGTACCCCAAAACTACGTCCACTAATACTACCTGAGATCAAGTTCCGTTGTTATTGTTTGTAAATTTTCTTCCTTCCTTTTATGAAACAATAGATCCTCTTTGAGGCAGTGTTCCCTGTTTTCTGCCATAGAATATTATTGACAGTGATTTAATTTTTTTAGATATTTCTTTGAAAATAATGTTCATGCTCAGTCAGTTATTTTGATAGTAGAAAGGCATTCCCTGAGCATTGATTGGTTGGAACTGAAGGGAATGATGTCTGTGTGTTTCAGCTTGGCTTGCCCTTGTCCTGCATCTGTACAGTTCCCTGTAACACCATGTTCGGATCCAGCAGCAAGATGGTGAGTGGTGATGGACTGTAGCTGCTGTCACACGACATCCGTCCATTTGATTGTGGCTCTCTTGAACTTCACATCATAGTTGAACATCATATATTACATAAAAACCATATAAGATTCAAAATTATATACTCTTTTCAATATTTCTTTCTCACGTTCTCTTTGTTAAAAATACCCGTGAAGATCCGAGGAGAACAGGTCTACAGCAACCCATGCTTGCCATAAAAGGCGACTCAGTTTATAAGAGGCAACTAACGGGATCGGGTGGTCAGGCTCGCTGACTTGGTTGATGGATGTCATCGTATCTCAAACATGTAGATCGATGCTCATTATGTCATCACTGGATTGTCTGGCCCAGACTTGATTATTTACAGACTGCCGTCATGTAGCTGAAATATTGCTGAGTGTGGTGTTAAACAACAAACAAACAAACTTTGTCAAAAACGCAACATCAATTGTAAAGGTAATCAGAATTAATCCAGTGTACCGAAACCTTTCATAAACTGGCATATTCTGAGATAAGAATGTATTGAAAGATTAATACTTTGTTGCAGGATGTGGCCATGTTGGAGAAACTCATACAGGATGACATTTCAGCAGCCAAGACTCCGGTCCTCCTTGTGGCTTTTGCAGGTATGTGATGTACGATGTGTCACGCCACTACCAGCAGCTGCTACTCTGGTTCATTGTCGTGTCATTCCTGGCTCTGTTGCTGGTACTGCTACAGCAGAAGATGTAACAGAAATATTCCTTTACTAACTACGAAACTATTCACAAATATTTGGCAATTGTCATTCATTTTGAATATTTCAATTGTTACCCCACAGACATTATTACAAATATTGCCATGTGTACATGGTTTAGGCAGCAAAGTTATTATTTTCATTGCACTGAAGGAAGATGTAAGATTGCGACTGAATATGTAATTCTCTTATTTCAGGTACCCCAGTAGTTGGCCATGTTGACAAACTCGGAAGACTTCAAGAAATTTGTCAGTCCAATTCCATCTGGCTACATGTGGAAGGGTACGTCTTCCTTGAGGACATATTGGTCATAGAGTTCAAGCATTGATTATAACGTTCAACTTAAAATGAGTTAAAGCACACCCGATTCCTTCACATTACGTCCTGGCATGACAGGTTATCTGTAGTCAGATATGGGGGCAAAGGCGGCCCAGTCGTCTAAGACTGTGTAGAGTTGCAGCCCTTGGCCACGCCAGAAACCTACGATCGTGGGTTTGAATCCCGGTTTGCCCTGATTATGTTTCTAGGTTTGACAGCACCATTCCCGTGCTCTTTGATTTCACGGAAGTGGTAAACGTCTAAGACTTGCATCGCATCAGTCACTATAGTAACATGAAAGGATTGGTGTTCTTTAACTTCTTTTGAGTAGTATATGAAGTAAGATTTATCATTCTGAGCTATGGGTAAGATAAATAATATTTATGCTCTTTGAACAAGTATTGACATTAGACTAATAAGCAACTCATTGATAATGTAACAGCAGAGTTCACCGTGAGATTATATTATACACTACGTTTATCAAGGATGCCCTCTATCTAAATGACAAGGACACCTTGACCTAAGTTTGAACACTAATATAGGTAAAATATATTAATGAAGTGAAACTATTTTTCAGAAACAACTTGGCAACCCTGACCATGTTCTCAGTCCCTACCTCTGTGCAGTCAGCCAAGTCTGGAGACAGTCTCACGATCAACGTCAGCAACTGGCTAGGCATCCCCGCCCTCCCACATGCAGTATCCTTACATAGCACCGCCACATCTAGTCTTGCCTTCAGAAATTGTAATGGTTAATTTACAGGATGAATATATTTGATTATATCGCTGAACTATTATTGACTGTAGTGGTCACTCGTTCATTACCAAGCTGAACTCAATTTCTTTGTCAACAGAGAATTATTGCACTTCTCTGAAAATGTTCCATGGAGTCAACACCTGCAGCTGTTTTGTTTGCTTCACAAACAAGTCAGCATTCTTTATGATTCCCCAAATAAATAAAAGTGAAAAAGTTCGCAATTTATTTCTTTTCATTGAAATTTAGTTCCAACAAATATTTTAATCAGGACATATGTGTAAAATGTAGTATGCACTGTTTGGTCTATTTCTTTAACGTTGTCCTAGACACTGTACAAATCAACCGACCCGACTCTTGACCATGCAGCTGGCCTCAACACCTTCGTGTCACAGCTCAAGCTGAGTTGTCTCCCTTTGTGGATCTGTCTGCAGAGTCTTGGCCATGACGGTATCGTGGAGAGAGTGAAGCATTCGTGTGATTTGGTGAGTGAACATTCAGCTGACATTCATAGTTATCAATATCTTGTTCATCTTAACATTTTCTTGCACTTTTTATCTATTGTTTGATCCTATCTGTAGTGTAAGCTCTGAATGTTTCATTTTCATTCCTGTCACTACAAGATAATAGGATGTATTATATGTGTGGTGACAGGGCGGTATTGTTTGTGTGGCGTTGTTGCAGGGGTTTTAGGTGCATGCTTAAAGATTTCAGGAACTGTGATGTTAAATTCAGTTTTATTTACTAGAGTGTCAACATTGTTCTTGCTAAAAAAATTAATAGTCTTGGTTCTCAGTGCCGCCAACATCATCATACAGTTCGCCGCATGTTTCGTTTTTATTTCCATTTAAAAAAAATAAAAAATCTTTTAATGTTCCAAGTCCAGCGGTAGTCAAATACTGTTTTCCAGTATTTTACTCATCAAGGAATACATTTATGTAGGGAGGCCCTTTCCCAGGTTGATTGTACACAACTGTTTATCTGGTTACACACTAGTTTGAACAACCTAAAAAATTAAAAGGCACTGCCTGCCCGCATTATATTTTCAAAAAAATATGAGAACCGATTCTTTTCTGTTTTTAAGCCTTAGGCTTTTCATTTATATGGCAAGAAGTGTGTCTTGTACTTGTACTGACATAATCCTCGTCTCTTGTTGATCAGCTTCTTTCATGTTTCAGGCCAAGTCACTGACAGAGTTGTTGGGAGAGATATCAACAATAAAACACGTGGTGAGTGACGTGTGTGCAAGTAAGGATAAGATTCATGGATGAACAACTTTATTACAATTAGGAACAATGTTTCGGTGTAAGATAACGGTGTTAGAACCTACTTGGAAATGTTGCTCCCAATCGTAATAAAGAAGTTGTTCATCCACGTATCCTATCCTTTCTTAGTACTCCAACTTCTAAATGCCTCTCAAAGAACTTGTGTGTGTCGGGTGTCAAACTCAAGCACCAAGTGTTGTAGTACTAGTACCAGTTATTTCTCTCTGTGTTGAACATATCTTAGTTAAAAACCAAAGTGATTGTACTCAGTTACTATGGAAACCTACCATAGCCCCCAACTTACTTTTAAAGGGAGTTAACTCCTGAAGGAATCACGAGGGAATCATTAAGTAAATGATTATATGAGTGCTTTCAAAAACATCACATTCTGTTTAGTTGCATGAACATGAAACAGGTTTGGAAAGGTTCGCTGAAGTTACAAGACATTAAACAGCTTGTCCATATGAGTGAATTGAAAGGATGAGGGGGCCAGCCTGGGCTTACGTACCAGTCATTCATCACCATTGCTGATGTGAAACCTAACTTATAGAGATAAACGTACTGACCCTTCTGACTGACTCTTCTGACTGACTCTTGTGACTGACCCTTGAGACTGACCCTTGTGACTGACCCTTGTGACTGACCCTTGTGACTGACTCTTGTGACTGACCCTTGTGACTGACCCTTGTGACTGACCCTTGTGACTGACTCTTGTGACTGACCCCTGTGACTGACCCTTGTGACTGACCATAGTGACTGACCATAGTGACTGACTCTTGTGACTGACCCTTGTGACTGACACTTGTGACTGACCCTTGTGACTGACTCTTGTGACTGACCCTTGTGACTGACTCTTGTGACTGACCCTTGTGACTGACCCTTGTGACTGACCCTTGTGACTGCCTCTTGTGACTGACTCTTGTGACTGACCCTTGTGACTGACTCTTGTGACTGACCCTTGTGACTGACCCTTGTGACTGACTCTTGTGACTGACCCTTGTGACTGACCCTTGTGACTGACTCTTGTGACTGACTCTTGTGACTGACCCTTGTGACTGACTCTTGTGACTGACCCTTGTGACTGACCCTTGTGACTGACTCTTGTGACTGACCCTTGTGACTGACCCTTGTGACTGACCCTTGTGACTGACTCTTGTGTTTCAGAGTGTAGAAAAGAAGGAATCTAAGAAGACTGCCCGGTCATTTGGGGACCTCATCAGTCAGGCTATCAGTGCACTGGTAAGATTCTTCTTGACATACAACGAGTAAAAGTTCAAGGTCTTGGTGCTTGGAGATAAATGCCACCAGTCTTTTGCTGATTAAATTGCGATCCCTGTGGGGATTCTGGGTTAGATATAGCAACCTATGCTGGTCGTAAGAGGTGACCAATGGATCGAGTAGTAAGGCTCGGTTACTTGGTTGATAGAGTGTCATCATGACCCAATGGTGTGGATTATTGCTCACAATATTGATCACTGGATTGTCTGCTCCAGAATCAATTATTAACAGGCTGACCATGTATAGTTGGAATATTGCTGAGTGTGGCGTAGAACCAGAAACAAATTATAACTCAGGCCTGTTTTGCTCGAAAAACGAAGGCCTCATAACGGCATATCATTTTCACGCTATTGGGAGCTTCCTACTTTCACTGTGAAAAAGAGTTTATATTTTCAAACACAGATACTAACTAATTCTAAAATTGCGTTTTGTTTAGAAAAAGAAAGAAAGTGATTTTTGCGTGAACACTTCCCCTTTAATCATTTGCTAAAGATGGATGTTTAGTTATAACATAGTCCTGTGATGTACAGATAAATACATTCTTGTGATTTCAGGTTGTGTTTGAGATTGTCACCCCTACCGTCGTGTTTCGCTATTGTGAAGACCCCACTGCTCCAGGTAGAGTATTTGCTATATCTGCTCTTCCATGCGTTACCCAGACAGCAACTGGAACTCCCTGTGTTTCTATTCAAACACTTACTAGAAAGAGAAACAGTAACAAGATGAAAGTCTCTGAAAAGTGACAAGTGACCTGCTTGTATATAGCAGTTGAGTTCTTATAGACAGGAAATAAGTTAAACCAGTCTATTTGGGTAGTCTAAGAATTTGGGTATCTAGATTAACAGGAATTAACTTTAAGTATAATGTCAAGTAGGGCTGGCTAAAAAGAATAATAATCAGAATTATCATTGATGGGAAGAAACATTAATGATTATTGATATGAAAATTGTGTCATCGATAATATATTACATGATGTGATGAAATAAAGTTTAGATTTAGACATGTTGTTGTCAGTCATGTCAATTGATGATCAAGGAAAGCAACTGTTTGTTATATCTTAAATGTCTAAAAAGTAATCCATGCACAAATGTGCTACCAATGTGAAATATTGCTTTCTTTAGGACTTTTTTTGACGTATTTGTTCAAAGTACTTCTGCGATATGTATCGATAATTGATCGATATTTAGTTAACAATTATCGTTTTCTATGATCTGTATCGATAGCCAGCCCTAGTGTAAATGTTAACAGGACACCTCTCCATACAAACAAACTAGACAGTGCTAGTGTAAATGTTAACAGGACACCTCTCCATACAAACAAACTAGACAGCCCTAGTGTAAATGTTAACAGGACACCTCTCCATACAAACACACTAGACAGTGCTAGTGTAAATGTTTACAGGACACCTCTCCATACAAACAAACTAGACAGTGCTAGTGTAAATGTTTACAGGACACCTCTCCATACAAACAAACTAGACAGTGCTAGTGTAAATGTTAACAGGACACCTCTCCATACAAACAAACTAGACAGTGCTAGTGTAAATGTTAACAGGACACCTCTCCATACAAACACACTAGACAGTGCTAGTGTAAATGTTTACAGGACACCTCTCCATACAAACAAACTAGACAGTGCTAGTGTAAATGTTTACAGGACACCTCTCCATACAAACAAACTAGACAGTGCTAGTGTAAATGTTTACAGGACACCTCTCCATACAAACAAACTAGACAGTGCTAGTGTAAATGTTTACAGGACACCTCTCCATACAAACACACTAGACAGTGCTAGTGTAAATGTTTACAGGACACCTCTCCATACAAACAAACTAGACAGTGCTAGTGTAAATGTTTACAGGACACCTCTCCATACAAACAAACTAGACAGTGATAGTGTAAACGTTAACAGGACACCTCTCCATACAAACACACTAGACAGTGCTAGTGTAAATGTTTACAGGACACCTCTCCATACAAACAAACTAGACAGTGCTAGTGTAAATGTTTACAGGACACCTCTCCATACAAACAAACTAGACAGTGCTAGTGTAAATGTTAACAGGACACCTCTCCATACAAACAAACTAGACAGTGCTAGTGTAAATGTTTACAGGACACCTCTCCATACAAACAAACTAGACAGTGCTAGTGTAAATGTTAACAGGACACCTCTCCATACAAACAAACTAGACAGCCCTAGTGTAAATGTTAACAGGACACCTCTCCATACAAACACACTAGACAGTGCTAGTGTAAATGTTTACAGGACACCTCTCCATACAAACAAACTAGACAGTGCTAGTGTAAATGTTAACAGGACACCTCTCCATACAAACAAACTAGACAGTGCTAGTGTAAATGTTTACAGGACACCTCTCCATACAAACAAACTAGACAGTGCTAGTGTAAATGTTAACAGGACACCTCTCCATACAAACAAACTAGACAGTGCTAGTGTAAATGTTTACAGGACACCTCTCCATACAAACAAACTAGACAGTGCTAGTGTAAATGTTTACAGGACACCTCTCCATACAAACAAACTAGACAGTGCTAGTGTAAATGTTTACAGGACATCTCTCCATACAAACAAACTAGACAGTGCTAGTGTAAATGTTTACAGGACACCTCTCCATACAAACAAACTAGACAGTGCTAGTGTAAATGTTTACAGGACACCTCTCCATACAAACACACTAGACAGTGCTAGTGTAAATGTTTACAGGACACCTCTCCATACAAACAAACTAGACAGTGATAGTGTAAACGTTAACAGGACACCTCTCCATACAAACACACTAGACAGTGCTAGTGTAAATGTTTACAGGACACCTCTCCATACAAACAAACTAGACAGTGCTAGTGTAAATGTTTACAGGACACCTCTCCATACAAACAAACTAGACAGTGCTAGTGTAAATGTTAACAGGACACCTCTCCATACAAACAAACTAGACAGTGCTAGTGTAAATGTTTACAGGACACCTCTCCATACAAACAAACTAGACAGTGCTAGTGTAAATGTTTACAGGACACCTCTCCATACAAACAAACTAGACAGTGCTAGTGTAAATGTTTACAGGACATCTCTCCATACAAACAAACTAGACAGCCCTAGTGTAAATGTTAACAGGACACCTCTCCATACAAACACACTAGACAGTGCTAGTGTAAATGTTTACAGGACACCTCTCCATACAAACAAACTAGACAGTGCTAGTGTAAATGTTTACAGGACACCTCTCCATACAAACAAACTAGACAGTGCTAGTGTAAATGTTTACAGGACACCTCTCCATACAAACAAACTAGACAGTGCTAGTGTAAATGTTTACAGGACACCTCTCCATACAAACACACTAGACAGTGCTAGTGTAAATGTTTACAGGACACCTCTCCATACAAACAAACTAGACAGTGCTAGTGTAAATGTTTACAGGACACCTCTCCATACAAACAAACTAGACAGTGCTAGTGTAAATGTTTACAGGACACCTCTCCATACAAACAAACTAGACAGTGCTAGTGTAAATGTTAACAGGACACCTCTCCATACAAACAAACTAGACAGTGCTAGTGTAAATGTTTACAGGACACCTCTCCATACAAACAAACTAGACAGTGCTAGTGTAAATGTTAACAGGACACCTCTCCATACAAACAAACTAGACAGCCCTAGTGTAAATGTTAACAGGACACCTCTCCATACAAACACACTAGACAGTGCTAGTGTAAATGTTTACAGGACACCTCTCCATACAAACAAACTAGACAGTGCTAGTGTAAATGTTAACAGGACACCTCTCCATACAAACAAACTAGACAGTGCTAGTGTAAATGTTTACAGGACACCTCTCCATACAAACAAACTAGACAGTGCTAGTGTAAATGTTAACAGGACACCTCTCCATACAAACAAACTAGACAGTGCTAGTGTAAATGTTTACAGGACACCTCTCCATACAAACAAACTAGACAGTGCTAGTGTAAATGTTTACAGGACACCTCTCCATACAAACAAACTAGACAGTGCTAGTGTAAATGTTTACAGGACATCTCTCCATACAAACAAACTAGACAGTGCTAGTGTAAATGTTTACAGGACACCTCTCCATACAAACAAACTAGACAGTGCTAGTGTAAATGTTTACAGGACACCTCTCCATACAAACACACTAGACAGTGCTAGTGTAAATGTTTACAGGACACCTCTCCATACAAACAAACTAGACAGTGATAGTGTAAACGTTAACAGGACACCTCTCCATACAAACACACTAGACAGTGCTAGTGTAAATGTTTACAGGACACCTCTCCATACAAACAAACTAGACAGTGCTAGTGTAAATGTTTACAGGACACCTCTCCATACAAACAAACTAGACAGTGCTAGTGTAAATGTTAACAGGACACCTCTCCATACAAACAAACTAGACAGTGCTAGTGTAAATGTTTACAGGACACCTCTCCATACAAACAAACTAGACAGTGCTAGTGTAAATGTTTACAGGACACCTCTCCATACAAACAAACTAGACAGTGCTAGTGTAAATGTTTACAGGACATCTCTCCATACAAACAAACTAGACAGTGCTAGTGTAAATGTTTACAGGACACCTCTCCATACAAACAAACTAGACAGCCCTAGTGTAAATGTTTACAGGACACCTCTCCATACAAACACACTAGACAGTGCTAGTGTAAATGTTTACAGGACACCTCTCCATGCAAACAAACTAGACAGTGCTAGTGTAAATGTTTACAGGACACCTCTCCATACAAACACACTAGACAGTGCTAGTGTAAATGTTTACAGGACACCTCTCCATACAAACACACTAGACAGTGCTAGTGTAAATGTTTACAGGACACCTCTCCATACAAACAAACTAGACAGTGCTAGTGTAAATGTTTACAGGACACCTCTCCATACAAACAAACTAGACAGTGCTAGTGTAAATGTTTACAGGACACCTCTCCATACAAACAAACTAGACAGTGCTAGTGTAAATGTTTACAGGACACCTCTCCATACAAACAAACGAGACAGTGCTAGTGTAAATGTTTACAGGACATCTCTCCATACAAACAAACTAGACAGTGCTAGTGTAAATGTTTACAGGACACCTCTCCATACAAACAAACTAGACAGTGCTAGTGTAAATGTTTACAGGACACCTCTCCATACAAACAAACTAGACAGTGCTAGTGTAAATGTTTACAGGACACCTCTCCATACAAACACACTAGACAGTGCTAGTGTAAATGTTTACAGGACACCTCTCCATACAAACACACTAGACAGTGCTAGTGTAAATGTTAACAGGACACCTCTCCATACAAACACACTAGACAGCCCTAGTGTAAATGTTTACAGGACACCTCTCCATACAAACACACTAGACAGTGCTAGTGTAAATGTTAACAGGACACCTCTCCATACAAACACACTAGACAGTGCTAGTGTAAATGTTAACAGGACACCTCTCCATACAAACACACTAGACAGTGCTAGTGTAAATGTTAACAGGACACCTCTCCATACAAACAAACTAGACAGTGCTAGTGTAAATGTTAACAGGACACCTCTCCATACAATCAAACTAGACAGTGCTAGTGTAAATGTTTACAGGACACCTCTCCATACAAACACACTAGACAGTGCTAGTGTAAATGTTTACAGGACACCTCTCCATACAAACACACTAGACAGTGCTAGTGTAAATGTTTACAGGACACCT